TGCAGCCAAGAAACCAGACCCGTCAATGCAAGACCGCCAAAGATAATGATCATGGTTTTCATCATCTTTGGGCCTATTGGCCAATTGATCTCACCTGCAAGGTATCTGACACATCCATTTCCTCACATCTTGGTCAAGACAGTCAAGACATTCTGTGCATACGCATTACCACCCTTGCATCGATAGAACTCAAGGGACGTTCCCCACCTCGGAATTCACTCAGGACACTTGCAAAAGAAAGCTAGCTTGGCTCCTGCATCTGCCACTCTGTATGGCCTAGGCCAGAAATCGCAGTAGGATGCAGTAGGTGATTTTGCGAAGAAAAGCAGCAAGGAAAAGAAAACATGCAAGGACAAACGTTGGACAACACCTGAAAAACAAACTGACACCAGGCCTCATTACCTGATTACCCTGGAAGAATACAGTAATTGCATCTGCAACTTTGAAGGACCCAGACATACCCAGACACACTGAGTCAGCAACTTCAAATGAAGCCACCATGTGCACTGAAGCCATGGAAGAACGTCCAGAGTGGTTGAAACCACACGAACGTGGAGGAAAGCTCAAAGGCAGTCCGTTCAGGATCGCATGGTCCTCTTTCTCTGCCTCCGATGGACTCAGAAACTGTTCCACAAAGGTAATTTGTTCTGCGCTGGAACTTGAGAGCACCAGATTTCGTGATTTACTTCTTGCTGCAGTTTGCAGAGCTCAAGATAGGGGGTTTCTAAAATCGGGGCGCCATGGGTTGCCCCAAAACCATTGATTTCAAGATTCAAAGAGCAATGGGCTGATTTGGGCTCCGCCTGATGGAACCATCAAATTGAATCCAAAAAGAAACATGTTACATGGATGGATACAAGATGATGGATATGATGGATATGATTCAACATTTGATGGATATCATCATCTTCAATCATCATCTTTGGAATGGATACCATCTGGTTATGACATTCACAGTTTGCCATGGAAAATCACAATTTTCCATTAAGAACGGTAAACCGTTTAAACAATCTATTTCGATTAGGGCCATCGAAAAACCATGGCTATGTCTGTTAGTCATAACCAGATGGTAACTATTAACCCTTAACCATAGATTATCCATATATTAACCATAGATTAACCATAGCTATGTTACATAACCAGATGGTACATGGATGGATCTGGATGGCGGAACTGCATGCCCCGCATGCCTTGCTACTCAAGGCCTGACCGAAAGCGTCAAGAGCCCCAGCACGGCGCACGATGCAAGGCCTGGGTTTTTGCGGCGATGGGACTTTTGGCTATTTGCCGACCTCGCCCTTGGAAAAAAGATGGCAAAATGATGATGTTCCTTTGGAATTGGGCACCCTACAAAAATAGGATCCATGGTGCTGGTATATTAATGCTAACATGAATGGGGTATATTGATGGTAAAATATGGTAAAGGTTACCATATATAGCATACATGGATCCCATGGGCTATGGTCCAAATCCATTCTAATCAGTCTATGTTTCGCCAGACCAGAAATGAAGTTGAACATGTTCAAAAATGCCACCGGTATGCACTGTGATTGAGGAGGTTCTAAATGCAGCTCTCCCCACCTATGATGGTATATAGTAATAGGAAACCTTTGTACTATTGGTACTGTTAACATGTGTATCACCGATCTGTGAGGGTTTCCAATGGTTGTAGACACTTGGTGATATCAGGCAGAATTGGCAGTCTGCCTCATGGGGTTCTGAGTGCATGCTCGAAGGGTTCTAAGCTGTGTGTTTTGATAGGTCCACGTATTAATTAAATTGTCAGCGCAACAGGTTTCAAGTGTTTGTCTGGCGTTATATATAAGATCAGGGAAGCAAGGAAGGACGATGAATGAAATTGAATGGAGAAACTCGAAGCACAGTCACAGATGCTGAGCAGTCAGACATGCCTGAAGGCTGGAAAAAGCAAGATGAAACAACATGAAACAACCTAAGGGTTGTACATGGTTGTACATCATCAGATCATCAAATCGGGATAGGTCCAAACTGGGATAATTAGTACATCATTTCTTTCCCAAACTCTGTGCGTTTTTTCACCATCGCCAGCCCATCAGTTTCACTGGGACCCCCGGTCCTTTCACTCAGTGCGCAGTCCTAGCTCCCACCTTTGGATGAGAGCGGAGGGTGTCCCACCTCGGATGTGTTGACTTTCTCTGATGTTTCAGCCAAGTTATATGGGGATGACTATGGATATGACCATGGGATATTGACCCAACTTGGGATATTGACCCAACTTGGGATAGGACCATCGCCACCAGGTGATCACCGACACCCGGATGATGGATCCATCCTGGATCCTCTGGGGTCGCTACTCAGCAGCTCCACTGAGTTGCAGCGCCCAACCTGACGTCGACCGTTGCGCAACCGGAGGCCATGGATCCATTCTGAATTCAGTCTCTGAGTCATTGCAAAACACGAAGCACGATGAACCGTGACTCTTTGCGCGCCTTGTTCTGAGAAGAGAGTTGATGCCTGAAACTGATCCGATCTGATCGGCAGGGGCACCAAAAACACGACATAAGGATCCCCACAACATCACATCCAGGCCTGCAGGGTCCCTGTTCGAACCTGATCCAGTGTCAGCATCTGGATGTCATGTTGATTTTTTGTGACAAAAATAGCCAAAATCCATCATTTGATCCCATGCTTGATTGTCATTTTCCCACCAAAATGGCCATAAAATATAATTTGTATAGCGAACAAATCTGCCAATCGGAGAGAGAAATTTCTCAACTTGCTTCTGTCTCCTAACATCCGAGGCACCACATCTTTGGCCACAACATCCTTGGCGGTGCCAATGTTTTTCTGAAGCTCTCAACGAAACAGATCCAACAAATCCAACCAAACTTGATTAAAGGAGGTTAAAGGATGTTAGAGAAAAATGGAGTACATGTTTTTTCCACGCTTTTTCACGGTTTTTTCAAAGTAAAACCCGTTGTTTAACACGGCTCCGCCGAAGCGACTAAGCCCACTCTGGCCGCCAGAACCAGGTCAGCACGGTCAACGCTCCTGGGCGAATCTTTGGGGTGTTCCATCAACAAAAAGTTGCGATACCCGGTGTAAAAACCATAGATCTTTATATATGGATCTTATCTGGGTAAATTATCATATGTCATGTTCACCTGAATATGGGCCATTTTGGGATGATTCCCCTAAAATAAACCATGATTCCAGTGATGGAGAACGGTGAGGTCGTTATAATTTACCCAGATCTTATGTATATGTATATATATTATTATATGGAAATTTAAAAATCCATAAATGAAAATCATCTAAAATCATGATCTTTGCCAACTTTAGAAAATGTTATAAAAATGCTGCCCCAAAAAAAACATCGCATTGAACGATGACTTGGCAGCCAAGCTACACATTTTCTTCACTCAGTCCGTCAATCAAAATGTCTACCTCAGTCGGTCTGTCGGCAAAAAAACATGATAAACCTGGCCAAAAACAACATGCTACTGGATTTCAACTGTTTTCGTGATCTAAATCGAAAGGGTGAGTTTGGGACGCAGATCCAAACGGTGCGCAATGATCTGCACGACAAGTCCTCTGAAAATTTGAACAATTGGGATGCGACTCTAAATTCCAAAAATATGCAAGAATGCCATTGCCAAGAATTGACACACTGATATTGAGAAATTTGAGGAATTTCATATTACCATCTGGTTATGACTAACAGTTTGCCATGGAAAATCCCCATGCTATTAAGAACGGTAAACCATCTATTTCGATTAGGGCCATCTATACCATGGCTATGTCTGTTAGTCATAACCAGAGGGTATTTCACCAAATCTTCAGTCCTATTTGGTCGATAAAATGCAAATGTTGGTCCAGGGTGTTGGCAGCCTCCGACAGTCGGCCATGGTTGAACTCACCATGGTTGCAATGTTCAACCGGCCGCCATGCAGAACGACCCAAGCGGCCTCCGTTCGAAACGGCTTCGCCCTGAAGACACCGTGTTTGCTTGCCATTCATCAACTGTTGAAACATGTTGAAACACTGAGGTTCAGGCTCGTCAACTGAGGTGAACATGCTGGGCATCCGGAGTCGCTTCGAAAGGCTGTGTTAAGAAAAGCTGCACCGGTCGGGACCTGGAATGTTTTGTTTTGAAATCTTCGAAATCTTCATTGATGTCCAGGAACACTGTGTTGTTTTCCATTGCATATTTCCACTTGAACCAGCTTCTGCGGTAGTCAGTGCGCACGATGGAAAGGCAAAACAAGTATGAAGGGACATCTACCATTTTTTTCCTCAATAGCCCACCAAATAACATGTGCGACACATGTTCTTCTCGGGATTTGGGTGCTGTTCTGAACCGTTGCTGGGGTCAACCTCATCAATGTCATTCCGTTAGGACTTGCGTCCTCCACGATCCTGTAGTCCAACTGGTTAGGACTTTGCGTCTCACTGGACGTTTGAGTAAGACAGCATAGACGAAACCATAATTTTGTTATATATTTTTACATATATTAATAATATATGGTTTTAATGATTTCTTTTAACATATGTTTTTCCATTTTTTTTCAAAACTGATTTAAAATATATATATTATATAAATAAAACAAACATAATTCTGTATGTTCTATTAGAAATGTATACTTTTGCATATATATATATATATGTACGTGTTTTTCAATATACTTAATTTTTAAATATTAGCTTTAAATATCATTTTGTTTTTATAGAATTAATAAATATATATATATATTTATATATTGTATTGATGATAATAATAAGGAATTTTATCATATCATAGTTAATTATCGCAAAATAATATCAACGATATAAGAAGAACTCCGATTATCTTTTAGATGTTTTCCAAATATTATCAGTGCAATCGGATATATTAATTATATTATCAAATTAATTAATATATTTATTATATATTACATCTCAAAAATAAATTGAATTTTTGATCGAAATCGATCTCAAAAAAATCATTCAGAAGATTTGATTATTCTTTATCTTATATTTTTCCACGCATATATCATACAATTTTCTTCAATTCCTCCGCAACATACCTGCCATGATAGTGGGGGACGCACATATGATCAGCCAAGTTCTGTCAAACAAAGCCAATGTATGCCAATGTTTTATACACCCAAGTTCATCAATTATAAAACTATTCCGAATCTAACCAGAACTGGTTGGGAGCAACCATTCCCAAGTGGATGGGAATGATGGGAATTCGGTTTTCCACAACAAAATCCGAATTGCAATCCAGAACATCTAGCACTCCAAATTGGGGAAGTTGGAACGTCTTATCACATCAACGTGATAAAAGTGAAAAATGCTGAAAGATGCTGAAAGCACCAGGGCATCATCAGGATCCAGATCAACAAAAAGCATCACTCGTTTCACGGAGCTGGTTGTAGTGATTCTCCTGCTGGTTGTCGTGAATCAAAAGTGAACTATCAAGTTCGGAGAGTGGAAACCCCAACATGTTGAAACTTGTTCTGACAGATTCTGACAGTGGTTTTCCTGATAGCTGTAAGAAATTGTAGTGCTTCCATGTTTGAGTTTGACTATCAACTCCCTGGTGTTTTTTAATTGCCAGAACTGTACCCTCCGGCAATCAATTCTGACAGTTTTCCAAGTGCTCTAGAAAAAAAAAATCGGGGAATTCTAGAATCAGGAAACTTCAATTTCATGAATATGCCAAGCAAATAACCCAATCCCCAATAGAAATAGATCTAGGAACATCTCCAAAATGATGGTCTTCACCATGGATGCCCCAACTGGTGACCCAACTTGACGTGGCACCCAGATGGATCAGCTTGACCCGTGGGGTCGATCTTGGCCGCCAGCTTTTGCCTTGGTGATTGATTTTTTCTAGGGATTCTGGAAAAACACTCAGAAAACATCTACTAAACTTCAGTGGTTGGATAATGTTGGATATATGGGGATATTTACTATAATCATGCTAAAATAAAGGGATTGTATCAGCCGGATCCAGGTCTAAAGCCACATCTTTTGGCTCAAAAAGTTACCTCATGTTGCCTCCAAGACTTCCCAATCCCATTCTGGGTGGTTTCAACATGTTCAACCCCCTTTTTTATATGCCGTGTCACAATAAACATACAAATCTGAACGAAACCACGAAATTGTAAAAGATATACCAAAGCCGGTAATCAAGCCTGGCAAAGGGAAAATCCACAATAAATGGATATAAATATGGAGCTTTAGATCGCTGGCAAAATCATCGAAGTAAATGGTGATTTTTCCAGCAAGCCATGTTTGATGACGATTACGGAAGGGTATCCCCAGCGTTTCCCGATCAGTCCACTCTCGAAATCCACATGAGCAGTGTTAAAAACCCGAAATGTCGTTCCCTCAACAACTGGTTAGGCTAAGAACAGGATTCCCACTTCATGATGCTTCATGGACTATGATAATCCCCCATTGTATTGGATAGTATCACACACAGCTAGTACTTAGTATACATATAATCCCATATAATCATATATAATCATCATCCGCATCCCCATCACGACCGAACCGACCCCGGCCGGTCGTTCCCAACCGCGCGACTTGTCCGGCGTTAAGGAGCGAAGCATCCAGGAACAGCCGGGGCTGAGTCCAAAGTCGCTGATCAAAGCCTGAAAACTTCCGGCAGCCAAAAATGTTTGGGTTGGCTTGGGAACATTCCACAAAAACTGCTTTTTTAAAACATGTTTTAACCGATGTGAACCTGTTTCGACTAGGACATAAATGTGTGGCTTTCCATTGGGATTGTGTGATGATCAAAAATGGGATGGGATAGTGGGGTACAGAATGGTACAGACAAGTCGACCAAGGGACCATAAAGCAGTGTACCCGAATGGTAAATGCCCATTTGCATGAGAAAAATCTGAGAAATATTAGAAAGTTTCGTAAGCATGGATTCATTCCTTTCAGGAGTGGAGTCCATGTTTAATTTCTCCATCTCTTATCAGACTCCGCCAGGTGAACCAAATCCATGGATTCTCCGATTCGGAATGGGCAAGGAGCTATCCTACCATGGCAATGATGTGAATCGCGTTCAGCTCGATGCCGGCCCGGTGTTTAGGCGCCTATTTTGGGGGCGATGGTCATATTGGATATGAATGAAACCATTCCATCCAACAGCTGAAGCCCCATGATTTCTTGCTGGTTTAGACTATGTTCAATGGTTGAAAAAGATTGAAAAAGCCCACTTTATCAAGCGGATTCACGCATCCCGGACTGAATTCACACCTCAATGGCGTTTTTGGTCGTCTGCTTCACCGGCCGCATCCTCAAATCTGGGGCTTTCTCAAGTCATGGTGGATCCCCACCAAGTCACCATGGCTTTGCTGCTCTAATGACTTGGATGATGGTACCATGGGGTACCCCCAATTTTAGAAAAACCATGGTAAACAGATGTAAAAAGGTAGGGGATGAAACATATATTTAGGACCAGGCAATGCGGCTGTACAATACTGGGGGAATGGCAAAAAAGTTGACGGGGTGTCGTTTCATGCTAAAATAGTACGGTGATGGGATATCGTTTCATGCTAAAATAGTACGGCAAATCAATGAAACTAGTCTTTGTGACTAGTTGCGGTATATGTACTGCGAATGATATGGTGAATCCATTTATTAAAATATGATGTATCACAGATTTATCTCGCGGTTTCAAATATTTATTGCTGTTCAACCGTACTTGGGATCACTAGTCGAGACATCTTGAGATGACTCATATTTTGGGGGATGGGTGAAAACCACCCAGTGAACCTCTGGTATTTCAACATACCTATGGAAAATCATAATTAATTTGTAGGGAAATCATCACAAAATATCACAAATCATCTAAATACTATTGGGCCATGTTCCATCGCTACGTTAAATAAAACCGGAGGGTGATGATTGTTGGTGGCTCATTCCCATATATTCCCCTAGACATCTTCCGCCATTCGCCGAGGTTGTTACCCTGCATCAGGGGCCACAGCTCCTCCGGCCGGAAACAACGGTGGCATGGCGACCACTTTGAGGGGGTGACACAACTGGACCATCTTGGACCTATAAATCTCGTTGATTCAAACCATCATGGGATGTCATGGGATATTGTTGGATTTTACATAATATTATATTCTGATATTCTTATGTAATGTAGGAGATTACATAATCTAATTCTTATGTAGGAGATCATGATCGCCAAGGGATATGATTGAATTGTTCCCATCCACGGCTATTTTTTGGACCCAATAGATTCAATGGATCATCGTTTTCAAGGCCCGAAACCATCTGAAACCGTTTTCAATGAGTCAAGTTGCTAGAAGGGTAAAATCAAGATTTTTCGGCTAACTGTTGGTTAAACTCAGGAATTTGAAGGAGAAAATCTGTCATGTTGAGCGGCTTGGCATTGTGCAACCCTTCAAACTTGAGCGCTGAAATGCATCCGTGTCTCCCAACTGGTCAATTCGCAGCGTTTTTGTTTCAGAACAAAATGCACATCTGACACATTCCGGAACAAAAAAACTGACACATTTTCTTAGCCGCTAAAGCCAAACCAACATCCAACAAAAATCATCCAACAAAAATTCCAACTTGTTCCATGTCGGCATCGCCTCGATGAAGTTCTCCATTCCGATCCGCTTCAAGCGCCTGCGGATGGCGCGGATGGGGCGGATGGTGTTGTGATCGGTTTGAAAATTGATGATCCGTATGAGCTTGGATATACATAGCTTATAAACTCTGATAAATTTATAACATGGTTTATCTGTACTCAGATTTGTGAAAAAATATGAGTTAACTGATTTTAACCAACAACTGGTCAACATGGTTTAAGTGTTTAACTACTTGGTGCTACATCTCAAGTCTGCTTAGTTCACCACGTGATTCATTCCGGTGAACCAGCAAGTGTTGGTGGTTTCACATTTCAAAGCACCAATCGAACTAGGAAAGGTGGCAAAGCTGCCATAAACCTCTCATCATTTCTGGTGAGTCATTGGGTTATTGGCTTATATTGGCGTCATGGCAGGAGCACCACATTAATCACATCAATCGAGAATTTACATGGTGCCGCGGTGCCACAACTTCTTTGGTAATAAGTAAGTTACCACAACTTGGTTGTAACAACCTGCCGCAGTTTGGCGGGTTTTTGAGGTGACCAACAAGAATGTTGTTAATGACTTCCAAACTTTGGGATGCCACAAATGCTTCGAGAGATGAAAGAAATGGATAGAAATGGATCACGAATCTTTACCGGAGATGATATGATAAACCACTTTTCAATGTGTTATGCCAAACTTCATGAATATGGAATTTGATCAAACCCTTTTCTCACCCAAACATTGCACGCAAGAGTTTTCCAGGCATTGCCATCTAGTCCCATGTCGATCAACTCGATGCTGGCGAGACTTGTCCAACACAACATGACACGTCCCATCCATCAATATCCCGTGAGTTTTACACCTCAAAATCCCATCCAAAAATATATACATCATATACATCATATCTGTGGCGATTTAATACAGCTGCGCCTGCTTCATGCGGCTCAGCAACATAGATGTTGGACTCCTTGTTCGCGAAGAACATGGAAAACTCTGATGAAAAACTCTTCCCACGAACACTTGGGAAATTAGGGAAACCAGGTGGACCCAGCATCTAATGAAGCTTCCTATCTGGTATTGTTTCAGTAATGTCATCCAAAAAGCAAAATTGGTTAGCTGGAGATATTAGATAACTGCAACACGGTGGCATTGGACTTACCACATTAGTCCAACACCATCAACTGATAGTTTTTGACCCCAAGAAACCTTCTCAAAACTTCCAACTCCACACTGTCATGCTGTGTCATGCTGCGTCTGTAGCCAGCGTCGAAGGTGGGTAGCCAATGGGGGTTTGTAACATTTTGTAGCCATGAGAAACCGCATGAAACCGCATGAAACCCTTGGGTCCCCCGGCCGACTGTCCAGTGGCCCACGACGCATCACCTCGCTCTGCAAATGCGGCGGCATCAGCCGCAGTCGGTCTGCCACCTGCCGGTGATACAATGAGGATATAATGAGCAGATTCCAAAACCTACCGATAAAGATCTATAAAGATTCTAAAAGGGATCCAAGCCCAACCACAAATATATATATATATATTTATGCATATATGTACAGTATATATTATCAAAATACTGAAGGTACTTGTCTCAAAATCGCATCGTCATTATCGTCATTGATGGTATATTTCTTGATCCAGTGACCAATCTTTTTGCGCGCGATCTGCAGGTCAGCAGCCAGCAGATCAATCGACTTCATCTAAAGGGGTCATCTGCTCAGCTTGCGAGCGGTGTTCGCAACCTCGGCGGATCTTTTGATCTGCCTGATCGACGCCAAAACATTCCGAAACAGCGGGAAATGCATGGCAGGTAACAAAGGATTTACCATCACCAACACCTCATACACCACCTCCCCCACCTCCCCCACCTCCCCCCGCACCAGCAACAGCAGCAGCAGCAGCAAACAAACAAGCAAGCAAGCAAGCAAGCAAGCAAGCAAACAAACAAACAACCAACCAACCAACCAACCAACCAACCAACAACAACCACCTGCGCATGGTTGGAACCGAAACACTCCCCGCGTTCGGCTTCTTTCAACTCTTGACACACTTTCAGGATGCGAACATCTGAGGCTGAGGCTGGTCGTCTTGTCACAACCAGGTACTGAGCAAGTTGCTTCTTGGCACCTGAAATTCCCAGGGTACAACCAGTACTGTAGTATGGGGAACAAAACCCAACCAAATGGTTCGGATCTACGATGGATTTCAGATGACTTTCATGACTTTACCATGTCTCCATCTGAATCTGGTCCGCTGGTCAACTGCAATGCCGCTTCATACCTGACTTGAGAGCTTCAATGGAACAATGATCTCCTGTTTGGAAAAGCATGGAGGGGCCAATTTGGTTTACAATTGTTCAGCTGGCTGATCGGAAAAGCTGATCTGGCTGTGTCTGAAAAAACCTCCCAGCTGGCAATTTTGATGGGCAGATGATAGACATCGATTTTTACCCATGGCCATTTTGGGGCTTTTGCAAAGTACCGATGGTACCGTGTTTTCAAACAAACCCATCAACACCTGAGGGCCAAGCGACACGATGGCCTTCTGAACTTCTTTCGCTTCCTCCTGAGGACGTCCCAAATTCCCAAAAATTCCCAAATAGGGCAGGTAAAATCAATGGAAAACCTGCCCATGTAGCATGTATCAGTTGATCTAAATACAACACTCTCCAGAAAGAATATGTGGTCAAAAACAAGCCCAAATCTCTGTTTCAACATGTATCACTTAGGAACAAAACATTGTTTATCTATTTTGAAGCTACGAACGCGCTAGTACTATACAATAATACCATTTGGATCCATGTGCCTTGATGATTTTGATGTGTGTTCTGCTACCAATCCCGGACCAACCGTCCTCCGGTGCATCGGCGATATGCCTGAGGAATCACTGGAAAAAAAACACGAAACGACATCGCCAGTCCCATCTGACGAAACGCTAAACATCTGCGAGTCTTCATGGTGTTCCCTTCAAATTTATATCCCATATGCTCCATGTATAGTATATTTACCTACATGACTGGGCCATTTATGGGGTAAATGTTGGTAAATATTCCATACATGGAGCATATGGGAATAGCTATGATACAACTAAATCAAGTTCCAACTTCAAACTGTTGTGCAGCTACTGGTACCTGTAGGTGATATGTATCTCAAAGACAAACTGCTTGAAACCTTCCCAAGACTCAGTGCACCCAGCTTCAGTGCCGAAAAAACACCATTTGTGGAGATGGTTTTTCAATAGCAACTGGGTGCAACTGCTTCAGACCAAATTCATCTGGCAGATCCCTAATGCGGGTGAAACAATGTCATTTTTACCACAGCCATTTTCCTGGGAATGATCAGTTCAAAAACCACCAACCAAAAAATGCTGAGTTTTTCCTGGGAGATGGTGCGCGCGTTTATGGCATTGTTTTACCCTCTGGTAAACATACAAAAAGCTATTGAAAATGGCCCATAGAAATAGTTGATTTTCCTATGAAAAATGGTGATTTTCCATAGTTCTGTGACAGTTTACCAGAGGGTACCCACATGATTGGAAAAAAAACACCAATCATGGGATCATCTGCAAGTCCCAGAAACTTGGCCACTGCCAGGGGATCTCCCCATGCAGCGTAGAGGCACAAGTTGGGCCTCAAAAAAGGCCGATTGGATTGTGGATGATTTGGATGGGTCATAAGTTATCCATGAAATTACTATATGAATGGGGAATGAGTACTATATGGGGGATGATTACTATGTGACTGGGGAAACAAACATCTAGCTATACCAGCAATTTGAGACTATCTCCGTATTGTTCTTCCGATTTTTCAGCCTGTGCATCTCCCTGCAGAAAAAACCATTGCCTGGATTCCGATGAAAGGCATGAATCTAATTTAGCTCTTAAATGGACGGACGACGTGGTTCCAACTGCAAGAAGTCACTAGACCAAATGAGTTTGCTCAAAACTTAGGCATCATGGCATATCCGCACTTTATTGCCATTTTAATGGGGAAAATCATGATTTATTGGAAAACTATCGGATTTGGCTGGAAAACTGCTGCCATGTCTTTGTCAAGGTTTACATCGTCGCTTGTGGGCTTATGGAATAGCACCAATCCCCCCAGTCAAAACAACAGGAAAAAGAAGGAAGGTTAAGTGTACCAATTTCATGTCCATGAATGTCCATGATATACCAGTTATACGTGTGTATATATATATGTATTTATTATGTATGTATATTTATATGTATAGATAGATGTATGTATATATATATACATATATATATATATATTATTATATATAAATTATATATATATATATGTATATATGTGATATATGTGCCAAACCTACTGGTATCAAAAGGACCCACTACCCTGGGATGCGTCTTTGAACCTTCAGAACAGCGACTCTCCCAAGAGCTCCCTCAAAGCAACACCATTGGCATCATCCTGGCCCCACAAGTTGGACCAATGGGAACAATCCATTCATGGTGAACCATAAAAAAAAAAAACGATTGGAATTTCACCATATGGAAAATGTTTGACTGTTTGAAATGATTAACTCTATTAACCATGATGATGTTTTTCGTGAATTAGCATGATCAAATTTCACCATGATGAAATCATATTTGACATGGAATTTGGTGAACTTTGATCGAAATCATGACTGCAAAATGCCAAATGTGATGTTCCCTATTGAAAAATCCTACTAAAAAGCTCTCTGATAATTTAACGTATCTCTGGAACATCACCATGTTCAATAGGTAAATCATCTATAAATGATTATACATGGACCATTTTCAATAGCTATGTCTATGTTATATTGCCAGAGGGTAAGAGGATTTTAACAGTGCATTTTGATTAAAATCATTCATAATGCCATCAAATGTTATGTTCCCTATCACAATCCTCTTAAACTCCATGCTGAGTTTAATCCCATTTTCAGACAAACCCAATACCCAATCAAATGGGATTTGTGGCTTCTCTGCCATTTTTGGAGATATATGAACATGTTCTATACGTCTATACCCATATAGGACTGATGGAAGGTAGGAGCATTGGACCCCATAGCGAGTCACCTGCGGCTTCCAACCTCCCAATGCTGCGCCACATGTGAGGCCATCAGGGCCATCGAGTACCAAAATATATCCAAATATAGTGTGAAAAGATATGAATCATAAAACCTGATCAGTATTTTTTCATCTTCACAATATAGTATGAAAAACTATGAATCATAAAATACCATAAAATATTCACAATACTGATCAGTTGAACATCTTATGAAGATCTGTATGAATCGATATTCAACTGATAGAAACAGGGGCCCTGCAAGGGATAATCATCCCGGCCTTCGTCAGGGCATGCATCTGTGGCGTCATGCCAGAATACCTGACATCGCGAAAATCTGTAGCTGGCGGGTCGCCCAATGTCTATCTGGTTAGAAGTGGACACAATGTCAACCTGCAACTCATTGTGAAGATGTGAAGATATTTGGCCGATGCAACCCAATGGATTCAGAATCCAAGGTATCTACCTGCATCCACACAATTTACACAGCGTGATTCTCCAGACCGATTTCAAGGGTCTGCAAGTAGAAATGGGAGAAATAATGGAGAAATCATCGATCCGGAAGAAAGTCGATATAGGATGATATCAAGATATGTGTTGCTCGCCTGTCCGGCGCGCGGGGGTCGGCATTGGCATTCAACAAATGGCGACAGCATTCCAAATGCCTCGGTTTTTCGGAGAACTTCTGTCGGAGTCCAACAGGTGTTTCATGGCTTTTCCGTCAGGAAGGCTCAAATCCTAGTTCTGTTGGACTTTGATTTTTAGCCCAAATCCTATCCCATGACGGATCCATAGGATACCTGGTATATTAATGCTAACATTATTTGGGGGTATATTGATGGGATCCATGGAGCACCATTAATATAGCAGCACCATGGATCCGTCATGGGCTGCAAACCATCCAAGGATTGAGATCCAAGGACCCACCAGCTGCTGCGATATGCAGGGGCTGCAAACCATCAGTATCAGCCTCAGTCATGAGATTTTTCACAGCTGGATGGGCAGCTTTCCAGTGCTTGCTACATGTAGATAGAGCTATAGATAGATGATTTTTTTAGATATGATCAACATGACTGCAAATGTCCTGTAATTTGGGTATTCATATCACCATGTCGCTTTCGATTCACCAACTTTTGATGGTTGTCGAAGGTAGTTGAGAACAAACAAAACAAATCAAGAGGTAATGCAAATCACATGGGACCTGACAACACCAGGGTTTCTCAAATGGGGATGGGTCAAAACCCTGGTACCTAGTGAACCCCAAAATAGCTGGTAAATGAATGTTCATCCCTCTAAAAATGTATCTATAGGTATTGACCCATACCCAAATTTCTTTCTAATCCAACAGTCCACGGCCAAGCTCCGTCAATTCTCCACGACCACAACCGAGCGCCCAGTAACAGAAGATGGATCGGCACGTTTCTGCAGAAGCAGACCTTGACATCTTTCCCAGGAGCCAGCACCATCTAATCCTCATCAAATTGAAATGGCAGATGATGGATTTCGACCCATTCCCATAATTCCCATATCATCATTTAATTCTGCTTAGAATTGCTTATATAAATATATAAGTTCTTGACATTATGAACTTATAGTTTAATCATGACTTTTATAGGGAAACCCCCTCAGCCCATAATGATCATAATGTCATCCAGCTGGTCCCTCTGCCTGCCACTTCCGACAAGCCAGCGAAGCATGCGCGATGCAAGGGCCGCCAACCCATGTGATCCGCCGCCTGCCAAGGCTCGCAAACTGTTTTCATCGCATGTGAATTTACTGAGGGGTATATATAGAGATTCAACAAAAAGATGATGTGACTGCAAACCGGCGGCCTCGATGTCACTGCCAGACTCAATCCTGGCCCATTGCGTCCATCTTCGCCCAAAAATGCGCATGAAAACACAGTTAAAGACCGTTAAACCTCCATGTGTGTTTTATCTTTGACGTCGCAAACAACGCGTTTTTTGGTGTTTTTTTCCTCTGAAACCTCTCTGTTTGTTTTGCTGTGTTGAACGACTTCTTGGGAGCGACCGTTCTTCCATGCGACAAACTACCTCAAGTAACAAAATCAAATGAACAAATCCAAATCCAGAAGTAGACCACCCACTAATTATACAATCAAACTCCATTGTTTTTTTATATGTTTCGAGCTTCGTGACGCAAGATGACCCTAACAGCGCCGGCAAGGCAAGCGCCGCGCGCCATCTCCGTCGCCCTGGAAGAGTGCCATCAAAAGCGGATCGCCCGCTTCCGCGAAGACCTGGGGGGAACAAGTCCTGGAAATCTCAGGGGGAAAATCTCCAAATCCATACCATCTATGAGTGAAAATCAGATTAGGTTCAGAAAAAATCCGAAAATCCCATTTCTAGGGCTAAAATAATCATAATATACCATAATCATAAAATTCATATAAGCATTACCTACATTCACAATCATCTCTAATCCCAAAAAAAACAGGGACCAGATGTTAAATGGAAATGTTTGGCGGTCGATCTTCAGATGTGGTTCGGAGATGTATGTCCCCACTTGGATCAAAGTGGTGTGGGCTTGGAATTGGTTTCACTTCAATAAGGTGGACAAGATGGTAACCCCAAAATTCCAAAAATTCCAAATCAGTTTCCCAAAAAAAATCACTGGAAACTATATGAAGCCATTATGCAAGGATCATTGGCATCCTGGAAAAAAACAAGCCATCCAAAATGGTGGTTCTCTATTGCCCTAGGCCCCGAGGATGGCACTGTATCATCCCCTGGTGCCCCAATCGCATGGCGTTTGCGCCCCATGGCAGCGATGGTATGCAAAATGGGTCGTTTCACGTTTCTTTGGAAGAAAGTCTCACTGATGACATGTAAATAACGGATACATTCAGAATGGGATTTAGTTCATTTTCAGTTGGCTGAATCAAACATCATCAGACTACGTATTCTGTTTCAGTTGGCCAATTTTCATCGGAGCAAAATGTGATCCACTGAAGCTGCAGAGGCCTATAGGGGCCGAGCTGGAAGCAGAAGCCCGGAACTCCCAAGCTGGAAAAATGAGGGGGGTTCCAAGTGCATGAGTTGAAAACCATGAAAACCCCTAGGTTTTCACATGTTTTCACCATCCAAACCTTCCTGTGCTTCGCACAAACCAATTCTGGGAGTTTTTGCACCCAGGACTTCCCAGGACCCATCCTTTCGCATGGCAAAATTTAAAGCGCGTGACATCCAAGCGATGAAACTTCCAAACAAATGACCACAAATGATTTGCTGTTTGATGAGCCAGGGGATTTTCTGAGACACAATCATCAAATCTTTACATACCAATATGTCTTTGGATATCCAGTACCAGTACCAAAAATTCTCCCAATCACAAACAAAACATCAAATCTACGCAAATTGCTTGACAATTCCCTCAGAAACTAGGAATGTTGGCGATTTTTAGGATGATTATGGATGATTACCCAATCTTAAGATTTTATGAATCAACTGGTCAACTGTCAACACGTGTCAGGTTTATAGCACACCTCTGCCTCTAAAGTGTGGTCTCTCAGAAAGCCCTGGCACGGACAATTGCAGGCTTTTGGGCAATGGGCAACCCGTGGCACCTATGATTACCTATGGGCAATCTGTGGCTCTATGTAGAAATATCATGAAATATCAACATCTGAGAAATTCATGATTTCATCTGGGAGATGTGAAGGCAACCATACCATGTATCAGAACAACCGCCCAATCGAGGGCTATCGCTGAAAAATATCGGCCGTTCCGGGCCGTATCACCATAATCCCACTGGGTGGTCCACCCCAAAAACCCATCAACCGACAGGGGCTTGGGAGAGCAGCCATTGGGTCTGGGGTATCAATGGATGTTCAGCCATGTATTTTTGTTGGGGGTATTTGGATGTTGAAAGATACGCTGAGTCCGCGGTCATGGTTATCAATTTAGTGTTGGAATAGCATCGTGATAGAGGTAGTACTGAAGGTTGGACACATCAATATGGGAGTGTCTCGGAACCCCACAATTCCATCACACATCCTCAAAAATCCATTGTTTATCATTACGTTCGCGATCATTTGCTCTAAATAAATCTTATCTGAAGGGTTTCGATAAAGGGTGGTACCCCAATAGCTGGATGGTGTAGAAATGTGTAGAATCAACATCCTATTGAAATGGATGATGACTAGGGGTAGCCCTATGACGAAACGGAAACCTCCAGACATTCCTGTTAGGAGCAACAGCTGTCAGGACCTCAACATCAGGTCCAGCAGGTAGTGGAGGAGGTACTGGAAACATCGTTCCTGCGCTGAATCATCTCCACCGCGGTGAAGGTTCACTGGATTCGACTGGCTAAAACAATCATACACCATCCATTTTCCTGGGAATGGTAACCATACCACCAACCAAAAAATGGTGATGACTGGGACTGGGGGATGGTTTATTGTTATTGTTTTACCCACATTAGAGTAGTTTAAGGGAACATCTGTATCAGACCATGCAGACCATGGTTTTTGCATCCAGATCAGTTGATTGATTCGGATGATTTTTGTTGAATCATGAATTGGATAATCAATAAAATTCCGTCCGTCTGGCAAAATTCTTTGAAGTTGATCTAGACTAGGCTTACCATTGCAATTGATACTGTAGTTGAAACATGTTCGGTCAAAACACAGCCAAACCCATCAGAGGTCATCGTGAATCCCAAAACCAGTGCTTTCCCTTGAGAATCCCGTCATTTTTCTGGTTTTTGTCCTTGCCGAACCACCAGAAACACCGATTTGTTTTGCAACAGTAGTTGATTCCCCCCTAACATTAGACACCCCCTAGAAACCATGGTTAAGCATAGGGATAGCATAGGGAAATTACACTTATTTGGGACCATTTAGGGGGAACGGGATCATTTTGTACCTTTCTTTGTTTGTTGCTTGTCCCACCATGCAAAAAAAAAACTCCTCCCGGCAGAAGGCGTTGCTGACCCGAGCTGCTGCTACTGTAACCTTATCAAGTCGCAAAAACTTCGCTCCGCGACTTAGGAGTTTAAAAAAGCCATCCTATGGCCATCCAATCACTCTGAAACATCAGGAATTCACCCATGGATGGATGGATAATGGATGGATATTGGATGAAAACACCAACGTTCGCCAACGTTCGCGAAGTCCCTCTGTTTCGCTCAGTAATGGGGTCAGTACGTGTGGCGCGCCATTTCTTGTTTCAGTGATTTCTGTGTTCCGAATAGTAGTCAAACACTTTTTTTTACCAGCACTTGCGACGCTTTGGAGACACTCAATCGCGCCAAAAATGTTTGCACATGTATGTGACTGAAAGAAAATGAGGTGGCTAGCGGTTAGTGAGTGATGTGAGTGTTAAATGTGTACATATAGAGGTTTCCTAAAATAGGGCTACCCCATTTGAATGGGATTTTCCCTCAAAAAAAACATCCACTTTGGGGTCCCCCATGACCATGGAAACCTCCATATAAGCGAAATATAAGCTGGCCATACATTGTGACTGCATGGGATCTATTGATCTATTGGGATGGCGAGTTTTGATACATTAAAAAACCAGCCGTCGGGACTGGAAAACACTCACCAATCATTCCCATGAGGTTCCGTTCGAACGGGGTCATGTGTGGTCAAATGCATGTATGATCATGTATGTGCATAACTATTGATGTTATTAATGTGTATGTATATATATATACCCTCTGGTAAACTATAACAGAACTATGGAAAATCACCATTTTCAACGAGTAAATCCACTATACATGGCCATGTTCAATAGCTATGTTAGTTTACCAGAGGGTAAGGGTCACTTTTTGGGTGAACATGTACAACATTGTACAACGTCCCCAACATGAAATATGTCGGAGCCAATCCCTGGTGGGCCACAGGGGGCCAAAATCTGGACGATTTTGCCATTGCCCTATCGCATTGCACTGGTTGATATCGCATCCCTATCAGTATCAGTTACTTCATGAAATCCCCAATAAACGTCAATAAACCAGGTAGATATCAATCATTATATATATATATCATATAATCATATATATATATAACCATAGTATCATATAACCATATGTTCTATTTTCCTCATGGTTACTATCCACTGGCTATCATATAACCAATCAACCCAGGGCTATGGCTGGTCTCAGGGCAGATTTCTGAGGTACCAACTGTCGCTGCTGGAGGATCTGCCTCTACTGGGACTAGCCCGAAATTCAGTGACGGCCAAATGTCAAGAATTGCCGTCAGAAGATCAAAATTTCTTGGCTATAATATAAATATATATATATTATATTTATTATACAATATATATATATATAATTATATATATATTATATATTATACAATATATGTCTTATGATACACTGGAACAAAGAGTTTACTGTTTACGATACAAAACCTAGTTTACATCTCAATACATTGGCCATGACCATTCCACCACTGTGTTTCAGTGCCAGCCTGTCGCAGATTTTTTGGCCCATCTGGGAGCCTGCATCCCCATCATCTGTGGCCTGAAATCGCCCAAAAAATCTGACGTAAATGAAACCCCCCAAAAAGATAGAATTTTGTATAGAAATGATGGTTATTTTCAGTAGGATTTTGCAATGTTCTATCTTTTATGATCTTTATGGAGGTTACTGATGTTCATTCACCCATGTTAACCAATGATTAACCATCATTAACCAACAAATAAAGAATTGCTGTTCACCTGATGTTTAGGTGAAACCTTCTACTGACCGCTGAACCGCTGGTGGTTTTTCATGTCGAGCATCGACATCATTCCCATCTGTTGTGAGGCCATCATGGCCTCAGGGCCGAGGAAAACACGGTTGACTTCTGATATACCCTCTGGTAAACTAACAGAACTATGGAAAAACACAATTTTTAATGGGAAAATCCACTATTAATGGTCATTTTCAATAGCTATGTTAAATTTCCAGAGGGTAACTTGAGGGTTATCAACATGGGGGGGGTCCATACATGGGGGATCCCCAAAGTGGATGGTTTATAATGGAAAATCCCATGAAAATGGATGATGACTAGGGGTACCCCCACGACTTAGGAAACCTCCATATGTTCTGATGCCTTTTAAGCCATTCATTGTACGTCATGGATTGGGCCATGGATCCCCAAAAAAAATCCAAAGCTTAGTTGGATTTCATCATTGGTCATGGGTTCGCAATATGGCATCCCCCAACATCGGTCAGAACCCCAAGCAGAATGCTGGAAAAGCCCTAGAGATCCCTAGAGATGCCTAGAGATGCCTAGATTGGACATGTCATGACATGTCGCAAACTTCCACTGCAGCTGAGTTTAGGACCATATATCCTGGATGAGGCATAAATCTCATCATGGCTGCCTGCGATCGCTGGCGCTACCTAAGGCCTCCATGTCACTGGTTGATGCTTCTGATGCTTCTGTGGTGCACCTCTTTCCTATTCGAAGTTTTTTTGGCTATTCCTGGCATATACAATGTATATACCCTCTGGTAAACTAACATAACTATGGAAAATCACCATTTTTTATGGGAAAACTCACTATAAATGGCCATTTTCAATAGCTACGTTAAATTACCAGAGGGTACCCCCATTTCCAAACCTAGGGCCTAGGACCTACGGGACCTCGACAAACCAAGTCACTTCAAGTGTTCAAACAGCAGCTTTTCCGCTGTCAGTCATGGTCGCAGTCATGGCTGCAGGTCACAGCAGCTCCGGGCAATAAGTTTCCGATGAGTTTTTGCCTCGGAAATCATTCACCACCAGCTGAAGGCTCTGGGGATCCAATAATTCACCACCATTTATTGACACTGTTCTCGGTATCTAGTTAATACCGGGATCTAGTTTAAGACACTGTTCTCGGTATCTTGGATATTCTGGGTATTTAAGACACTGTTGAGAATTCATCAGCAATGAAACCGATGTCCAGAACCCAACATGGCAAGTCAACAAGATCCAACCTGGCACTGAAAGTCATGAACACTTCAAATTTCCTGTAGTACCTAATGACTTGTAATGACCAGAAAACACTGCGATTCATCATTCATTCACCTGCAAATCATCCTATGGCCGACCTGTGAAATCTCATGCTTCGGGTTTCCATTGGATCTTGAAAATATCTTATACCCTCTGGTAATTTAACCATGGAAAATCACCATGCTATTAATGGGTAAATCCACTATAAATGGCCATTTTCAATAGCAAACTGTTAGTTTACCAGAGGGCATAGCCCCCATTCCACCATCAAGATGCTCTCGAATGACATCCCGTAGGGGGCCAGTGGGTCGCGCGATCATTCCCCAAAAGCTCTCGCCCGCGCTGAGGTTATGGATCATTGCTCCATGACGCCCGCGCAGGACTTTCCTCCAATCCTGATCTTTCATTTGAAAAATCACGGTGCAGGACGTTTCGCCAACGAATCATTCCGTTTACACCTTCGGGACTTCAGGGATCTTCAGGGGGTGGTTTCCACCTGGTCTGATACACCTGATATCACCAGATACTACGGACACCATCTTGGATGAAAACAAAAACGGCCCGCCAAAAGAATTGAAACATCAACTTAAACACCAGCAACTTAAACCCTGAAAAAATCTCTTAAGAGGATTTCCAAAAAAAAAACTCAGCCAGAATCTTCTCCGTAGACTTTGTTCAAATATTCCTCGCTCTGCGGCAGGTTTGGAATCCACACCTTCGCATCCCCAAAGAAGCGCCGTTGACGCAGGTCCCTCTTCTGGGAGCCCAAGATGCCTGGAAGGCCGGTGGCACAAGGCACTTATTTTGACCATTTATATAGATCCACTTCACTTCGTTGTTTTGATGTTTTTTGGCTTCTAACATGTTCGAACTACATTGAAGTAGATTGAATACCACTTCAAAACTTTGATGATCGATCATGTTTTTGTATGTTTTTGTTGCCTTTTCGATCCATTTTCTGGCCACTTCATCTCCATCTTTCATCACCGTTCATCATTTTGTGCCGAGTTTCCAGCTCCCTAACCCCATCCAACCCCATCCAACCCCATCCAGCCCCATCCAGCCCATCCAACCCCCACCTTTCAAGGGAAAACTGTGGGCATATTGCAGGTCAGTACGATGAATGTAATGCCAGCGACCCTCTTCCGCCACATCAGCCAGGTGTGCATCCACATAGGGCAGATGACAGGCCAAGCCGCCCTGGACGCTGCGGCGATCTGCTGCTGCCGGGACTTGCACCAAGCAGAAACCTGGTCTGCTGTCGGAATCAGATCTCTAGGATCTTCGTCAGAATATTCAACAAGAAGAAAGGATGTATGATGATCATTGATGATCTGGTTGGTGGTTGAGCTCGCCACCCCTCTGAAAAATGATGGAGTTAGTGAAAGTCAGTTGGGATTATGAAATTCCCAATATATGGAACAATGAAAAATGGTCCAAAGCACCAACCAGTGATGTATTAACATGTGTTAACTAACAAACATGGAATGTTCACCAGCAAAATGATAGTTAGTGGGTGTGGTCTGCATCACCATTCTAAGCTAGGACTAGGATTGACGATATGTCTGAAAAAAATGCAAGGTGTAAGCAGGGAAGTCTCCCGTAGATTCATGAGTCTTCCCACTACCACTTTGCAGGGATGGGAAGGTTTAAAACATGAAACCTCAAATGTAAGCTTTTCTGAAACCAAAAGCAGCAACGGTACTGGAAATAGATAGGCATATGAAACGACACCAGCCCCGCTGCAGCCAGTGCAGCCTGGAACTTGGGAGATAACATTTCATGAGCATCTGGTCGCCAGATGGCTATATCCACATCACAATCTTGGGGCAACATGCCACCATTTCGCAGCGTACCCAACAAAGCCCCGGAAGACATCCACCATTTTATTTGGAACTCATCCAACAGACTTCCAAGACTTTGTAGCATGGAATATACAGCCATTGCACCTTGAGCAGTCAACCTTTGAAGTGGCGGCCACTGGTCGATTTGATCACAGAGTTTGGCCAAAGTTGGTGGTGGTGGCTGATTGGGCACCTTCAGTGCTGGAATTGTCGCAGTTTCAGCAGTTTCAGCAGTTTCATCTCTCGGATCTTCTTTGGAATCTCCCAAAGACATTGGAATCCCGGCCAGTCGTGCCAGCAAGCTGAAAATTGGAAAGCTTCGCGTCAAGGAACAGGTCAATTGCACCTGTTGTGGCCCCAGCAGTGTATAGAAAATGCCATCCGCCAATAGGATTTGCGCCTGAGCATCCTCCACCAACTTTTCTTGATCTTCGGACCATTTCCTCAAAAAAACTGATCAAATCCATTCCAATCCTGCTTATGGGCTTCAAGTATACCCCAAAAAAAATCACCCAAATGTCCAGAAAAGGCCCTGAACACCCAAAACTCTCCTAAACCATCCAAATGTTCAAAACACAAAATCGCAAGATCCAGGTGCCTCAACCATCTCGTTCTGCCCCTGTTGTCTGTCAGCGCTTGGGCCAAGTACGCGAAGGCCGCGGCATAGCGGCAGACCACGCCGCAGGCGAAGGGCTGCCGTAGGGCCAACTCCACGAAGCGGCGATGCAGCCAGCGCTGACAGCGACGGCCTTTCGCGCAGCTGCGGTAGTCGACGGCGGTCAAGACGTGGAACTGTTTGAAGATCGTGGCCTGGCGAAAGGCCTGGAATGGCCTGGGAACGTCTGGGAACATCTGGGAACACAGGTGGCAATATCATCAAATATCATGAGATGGTCGTGTCATGTGAAGCTGATGGCCGAGGATTCAATATTGATCCTGTTGATCCACTGATTTCTAAGAAACGACTGCCAGTTGGGCTATCCCCATTTGCCCCAGCCTCCGTAGTGGTTGACCCCGGCCACGCAGCATGAAACCGCCTGGCAGCGCTTTCCAGATCCATTGCTTCAGGAGGTGCTGGGACCAAGGTGCAAAGTTCGTGGCCCGCTGCAAAGGTAGATCCATATCCTTGGGGAACGTCATAAAACATATGGGAGGTTCCATATATAGTCATGGCGGATCCCCAATAGCTGGATGGTTTAAACATATGGACATGTTTATCAAAATGGATGATTTGTGGGTACTCCCATGTTATGGAAACCTCCATGGGGAGCCAGGGAGCCATGAGAAAGTAGTATATCTCAGCCATGTAATGTGATGTTCCTAGAAAAACAACAAATCCCAAGTAGTGGTAGCAATTAATGGCAAAATGACATAAATTAAGCTTCAGCAAATCAACAAACATCCAGGTATCCCAACTTCAAGACGTTCATCCAGGGACTGATGCGTAGAAACGCCCAGTGTCGATCACTTTGTGTGACCAACTGCTTCACCTCTTCCGTAGCAGATTGTGTCTTCCACATCCACAGGAACTGTAGGAGTTCGGTGGTGAAAATTCCCGGTGCGCATGGTAAGGGATGATGGGAGGTGGCGTAACCGGTCGCTTCCGTCGGCTCATGAATCAGCCCCGAAGTTCCAGAATTTTCGTCCATCAGCATCGATAGCCAGGAGTAGAGTTCTTCATCACTGGGTTCTTCAGGTCTCCGAGGTCGGGGTCCCCCGGGTCCACGTTCCCTCAAGTTCAAGAACAGCCGTTCCATCCGTGTTTGCGATGCAGATCTCTGGGCCGCATCTGAAGGACACCCCAGCAACGACAAACCCAGGGCCAGGGTGGCTTGGACACACCAAATCACCAAAAAAGTGGCCGGAAATCCTTGGGAAAGCATCATTCATTGCTGTCACTGCGATCAGTGCATCTTGGGTGATGGAAATTCGCGTCCGACGCAGGAAAAAGCGCTATGGCAACAATCACAACATGAATGAAGTGGGCTTGGAATCGGTACAGCCCTGTCATATGTTTCCTGTAAATTTTCCCGTCATCCAATTCTGTGAGATGAGCAATGGTTTTCGGATGTGTCATATGTCTGTAAAACTCAGTGTGAAATTGGCACTTTCAGCTAGCGAAATCAGTGAAAAAAAGCAGTACACAGCCAGTGCCCGAGATACTCCGTGCCTGTTGGGCCATTTGAAGATATTCTTGATTTGACCTGCCGGAAAGCCAGCCAGATTTCACCAAGGTGAAATTTTCACGTCTTTCCCTGAAATTCCTGGGATATACTGTGATATACTAGTGATATACTGGCTACTTCTACATCCCATGCTTGGATTTTGGCTACCATGTACCACCTTTGTCTTTGCGTGATCTTACACTGTATTTGGCAAGTTGTTGGGTCGTTCTTCGCTTCCAAATATCTCAACAACTGGAGCAAACTGCATAGATTTTTTTTGTCTTCAGGGAAGAATCCAACAGTTGGGCAAATTTGCAGGTGTTCAAATTGTTCAAACACCTGAAGACACACAGGGAGTCGAAAAAGGGACTTTTCCCTTCGCCTGCGTCTGGCTCTGTAGTGGTCCTGGGATGGCATCATGGCAGTTGCATCACCCGAAGATGGTCGAAGAATGGAATGGGACCCGCCATCGTTCCCCTTTTGGGAAAGGCCCACGTTGGAACTGGCAGTCACTTCCGATCACAAAAATTCATCTTGAGGCCTCTGGTGGTTCCCCCTTCAAAAATATCAAAGTCATCATTGAGGATATCGTTCCTATAGTTGAACATATCTAAACACCTCAATCCATTGATAGTGGTTGTTGCTGATTATCCTCCCAATTGTAATAGGAAGACTGACTCATCCCATTTTTCACTAACCTCCTCACAACTACATGTTTTGCTTCAAGAACACAAGAATGAAACCAGCAACATTGCGCTGTAGACTCCATTTTCTCCACTTCTTTTCTCCATTTTCCCAGGTTTTTCCATCATTTTCCCAGGTTTTACCCTCTGGTTATGTCAACATAGCTATTGAAAATGGCCATTTATAGTGAGTTTTCCCATGAAAAATGGTGATTTTCCATAGTTTTTTGTATGTTTACCAGAGGTTTTACCCTACAAAAACGGACCAAATCCATGCTGAAAACCCACTGAAATCCACCAGTCGCTCCTGCGATCTGCGGACAGCCCAGTTCCCAGGAGGTCCAGCATCTGTGCGCGAAGAGCTTCGGGACCGCCTCGAAATCTTTGAGGCTCAACTGGGCTGGGAGATACCATGGAAATCTATGGAAACCTATCGAAATCTATGGCAATCTATGGAAATCTATGGCAATCTATATGGAAATCTATGGAAATCTATGGAAATCTATGGCAATCTATATGGAAATCTATGGAAATCTATGGAAATCTATGGAAATCTATATATGATCATCAGTTTCGCTACAAATGGAGTGATCAGAATTTTTTGGTTCATCATTTCCATGGCTGATGCATCCACTGTTCACATCAAAAAAACACCAGAGTCACCAGGGTGAATGTGGATGAATCCACATCTCACTGGGACCATACTCACTGGGTGTTTAAGATGAACGGATGGGATGGGATGTTCAAGCATGGTTTTTCACGCTATAAGAGTGAGAATATCATCCAACTTTCATCCAGTTTCTAGTCATATCCAAAAACTCATATCCAAAAATATGTTGATGACATATTAAATAAGTATTATACCATGAGCATACTTCATGCAATTATGGGAAGTACTTATGTTAGTTGATGTTAGTTGAATGCTGTTTGTTTTCAGGTCACGGCCAAGGCATTTGAAATTTACATGCGTTTTGCTTCCAACGCCTGGGAGAACAGCACCACACAGAACCCAAGAGTTTCTGGATGATCGTATGAACCAGTATGAATGAAGCGTATGGAGGTTTCCGTTTTGTCGTGGTGGTAACCCCAAGTCATCATAAATCATCCAAGTCATAAACGACCATTTTAGGATTAAAACCCATGGTGACTTGGGGATCCCCTACTATAAAAAACAAGCAGGACTTGGTTGGCAAACGAGGACTAGGTGGAGCTCCTGAAGTGCAAAACCCCCCCAATTCGCGGCACCTCATTTTGTGCCCATTTCGACTCTCATCTGCAGGTGACACAGGAATCGCGAAGTTCATCAAATCATACCATCTGGTTATTTAACATAGCCATGGAAAATCACCATTTTAAATAACCAGAGGGTAAAAACTGATGACACAAAAAGTTGTCACACAAATTCAGCAACTTTTAAGACAGACGCAGAAAAATGGGGAAAAACACAACACCATGGTGAGAACTGTCCATGTGTGAGAATTCACAAAAAAGTGATAAAAAGTGTGAGAATTCACAAAAAAAAGGTGATGTTAGTGATTCTGGTCAAAGTAGCATCCAACCACAATTGCGGTTTTCAATAGCTGGAAATAGTGTGCTTTTTAGCCTATTAATTTAGCCAAAAAATGTCCTAAACCATCCCCGCCGGTAGCTGGAGGAGTCCTAAGTCATGGGGTTCACCCCTAGTCATCCTCCATGGGATCCACCCTTGTAGGACACGTTTTGATTCACCATATCATACCCTAAAAATCCCTATACCAATCCATAGCATTTATGACCCCCAAAAAAGACCCAACTGTGTTTTTTCAGAAATCCTGCAGGTGACCATTGGTAACTATCAAACACTATGGATAAATAATGGGATTATCATGGGAACCATCCAACCGTCACTGGGGATTTCTTCTCATCCAACCGTGGCACCCTGTGCCTCTCGGACTGTCGCCTTGAGCCTGGGAAAATCCATCGATCAGTCGCAAAAGTCCAACGTTTTTGACCGCTGAGTTCTGGTCCTTCAGAGCCTTCTCTAGCACCTGGCCGTGGAGATCCGTGGGGAAACATGGATGAAGTCTGACGAATCTGCCAACCCCGGCACAAAAAAAAAACTATTTTTCAAGATGCGCAACACAAGGCTAGGCAGTTTTAAAATTTTATGGCGCGTTTTTTTGAGCGAACGCACAAGGGATTGAACGAACGGCTCAAAGCTGTGGGGATTCTCCAGCCATCTTTGATTTCGATGTTTCGCTGAAATGGGCATTCAATAATCGTTGAGATATCTGGTTGGTGGTTTTAACATGTTTTCATCATCTTGAAAAATGATGGAGTTCGTCAATGGGAAGGATTAATTATCCCATATATGAAATGGAAAATAAAATTCATGTTTGAAAGCGCCAGCCAGGATATTCATGTGGCTAGTGCTTCTATGAAAAAGGCATATGATTAGCCCTCACGATTCATGGTGATGTGATGTGAAAATTTGAGGATCAAGATCCTGTCGATAAATTAATAATTCGAACTGGGGAGGTATGGGGAGCTAAGGAAAAGAACATTCATCGAAACCAGATTTTGCTACTCATGGGAAACGGTTGCGACACTCATTGAGATGCTAACCACAAAGATCCACAGTAACATCAACCGGTGGAAAATGCACTTAGATTGGAAATATCCCCACGGCATCCCATATTCCAATTGAGAACCACTGGGATTGGATTTGCCAGATTTAGAAATCATTCACGTGAATTTAATCTGCAAACTGAGAATGAGTGCAAACTAGAAAAGATATCAACTGAGTGTCTGTCGCAATTCAAAAGCTAAGAGAACCAAGATCAGCATGAGTCATTTCGATCTGAGACCATGGTGCATTCGTCGTATGGAAGATTGGGTGCAAAACGGGAATGCAACATATGCACTATGTGACTGTAATTTGGCTCTTCCATCTCGATACCAAATCAGCTATCCAATGTGAATGGCACGCGTCTGCGCTTTGTCAAACATACACATTCATTGCATCTGGATAAAAAAAAACAACATATCAAATTCATAATATCAATCAGTTTACCCTCTGGTAATTTAACATAGCTATGGAAAATCACCATCTATAGTAGGTAAATCCACTATAAATGGTCATTTTCAATGGCTATGTTAAATTACCAGAGGGTAATATCAATCATTCAATATCATTCAGCAACTCTGGGATGTTATCCTCTCAGATCCTCTCAGATAGGGATGTTTCCTCGAAAATTCCAGTGACATCGAGACATCACAAAAAAGACGTGCCTTGCCATCCAAGGGACGCCTGACGAAGTCAGTCAAGATTGAAACAGGTTGGGATCATGGTGGTCCATTTAAGATTCATGTTTCGCATATTTAAGCCATTTTCAATAGTCTTCAATTTTGGGTGGTATTTAGATTTTCTACATGTTTTTGATTCGTCCAAATCTGAGAAGTTAGCTGAAACAATAGGAACAAAGGAGAAACAACTGCGGTAAGAAAGAGAAGGAGAACAAAGATGAGAGTTTTGCACTTTTCTTTATCTGCCAATGCAGAATTTGCTGTAGCCAATCTTGATTGTTCATTCATATCTCATTGGCTTCTGCCAGTGACTCAACATGTAGCATCATGTAAACTCTGCATATAATCAGGTTGTCAATTTCCTATAAAAATCCGAAAGATTCTTCTAGATTCTCCAGATGATTCTCCCAGTTTTTGTGAAGAAACTGTCCTTTTTCCCATCAATTCCCGGCCTAGGGGACCATCGGTCAGGATCTTGTCTTTCGGGAAGGGGTCGCGATGACATGGACCCACCTGAAAAAAAGTGCCGGATTTTTTTCTTGGGAAAATCAGCGAAAATCGGAATTTCCATGAGGGCTGACCATTTAAAGCAACTGATTTTCTCACTGAAACTGAAATTCACCAGGAATTTCCATCTATTTGAGTTGGTTGTGATATTAGCTGCAATCCCCAAGATTTTTAGGAGTGTATAACCCCCCAAAATAATCATCAACAGGGGTTTTGAACACTGCTCATATGGGGCCCATATGGCTACGTGGTGATTTTTGACTCACATCCAACCACCTATACTCTATAGATATCTATAGTATAATCATCCACCGTAAGTCCATCGTTGGTGGATGACGGCCAGCGGTGCGAAGACGCCCGCCCAATGGGCGGCCCATATCTTTGTTCGATCGCCTCGTTGCCTCACTCGTCGCTTCCGCCTCGGCGGAAAATCATCACATCTATGGTTGATCTATGGCTGATCTATGGTTGATCTATGGCTGATCTATGGTTGATCTATGGCTGATCTATGGCTGATCTATGGTTGATCTATGGCTGATCTATGGTTGATCTATGGCTGATCTATGGCTGATCTATGGTTGATCTGTGGTTGATCTATGGTTGACCTGTGGTTGATCTATGGTTGATCTATGGTTGATCTATGGTTGATCTATGGCTGATCTATGGTTGACCTGTGGTTGATCTATGGTTGATCTATGGTTGATCTATGGTTGATCTATGGTTAATCTATGGTTGATCTACGGTTGATCTGTGGTTGATCTGTGGCTGATCTATGGTTGATCTGTGGTTGATCTATGGTTGACCTGTGGTTGATCTATGGTTGATCTATGGTTGATCTATGGTTGATCTATGGTTAATCTGTGGTTAATCTATGGTTGACCTGTGGTTGATCTATGGTTAATCTATGGTTGACCTGTGGTTGATCTATGGCTGATCTATGGTTGATCAATGGCTGATCTATGGTTGATCTGTGGCTGATCTATGGTTGATCTGTGGTTGATCTATGGTTGACCTGTGGTTGATCTATGGTTGATCTATGGTTGATCTATGGTTGATCTATGGCTGATCTATGGTTGATCTATGGCTGATCTATGGTTGATCTATGGTTAATCTATGGTTGATCTACGGTTGATCTGTGGTTGATCTATGGTTGACCTGTGGTTGATCTATGGTTAATCTATGGTTGATCTATGGTTGGTCTGTGGTTAATCTATGGTTGACCTATGGTTGATCTGTGGTTAATCTATGGTTGGCCTGTGGTTGATCTATGGTTAATCTATGGTTGACCTGTGGTTGATCTATGGTTAATCTATGGTTGATCTACGGTTGATCTGTGGTTGATCTATGGTTGACCTGTGGTTGATCTATGGTTAATCTATGGTTGATCTATGGTTGGTCTGTGGTTAATCTATGGTTGACCTGTGGTTGATCTATGGTTAATCTATGGTTGACCTGTGGTTGATCTATGGTTAATCTATGGTTGACCTGTGGTTGATCTATGGTTAATCTATGGTTGACCTGTGGTTGATCTATGGTTGACCTGTGGTTAATCTATGGTTAATCTGTGGTTAATCTATGGTTGACCTGTGGTTGATATATGGAAAATCTATGGTTGACCTGTGGTTGATCTGTGGTTGATCTATGGTTGACCTGTGGTTGATCTATGGTTAATCTATGGTTGATCTATGGTTGGTCTGTGGTTAATCTATGGTTGACCTGTGGTTGATCTGTGGTTAATCTATGGTTGACCTGTGGTTGATCTATGGTTAATCTATGGTTGACCTGTGGTTGATCTATGGTTAATCTATGGTTGATCTACGGTTGATCTGTGGTTAATCTATGGTTGACCTGTGGTTGATCTATGATTAATCTATGGTTGACCTGTGGTTGATCTATGGTTAATCTATGGTTGACCTGTGGTTGATCTATGGTTAATCTATGGTTGACCTGTGGTTGATCTATGGTTAATCTATGGTTGACCTGTGGTTGATCTATGGTTGACCTGTGGTTAATCTATGGTTAATCTGTGGTTAATCTATGGTTGACCTGTGGTTGATCTATGGTTGACCTGTGGTTAATCTATGGTTAATCTGTGGTTAATCTATGGTTGACCTGTGGTTGATCTATGGTTAATCTATGGTTGACCTGTGGTTGATCTATGGTTGACCTGTGGTTAATCTATGGTTGATCTATGGTTAATCTATGGTTGATCTATGGTTAACCTAATCTATCATCTCTACATTTCGACCGCTTCATCTCTCATTCGTTGCAGGCGCTGAACAGCTGAGACTCCGACTTTGGAGGAACCTCCAAGTCTTTGGGAGGTCCTATGGAAGACCGTCGGCCACCGAAGTCACAAGTTTCATTGTGTTTCTGCGACTTCGTCTCGGTTTCTAATGCTTCTAGCTATTATAGTTCATCATTTTTTGTAAAGATTGCAATTATTATGGTTATCCTATGTTATCCCCCCATTTTCAGAGACACCGGAGACACCCTTCACAACCAAACTGCGGCTCTCAAGGGCCCCACTTTCCAACGATTCATATCGGAAGGATGGGCGAGGTGAAGGTGAAATGCTCCTGGCTAAGCCGTGTGAAATCCACAAGTCAATCTGCGGATGCGTTGCTACCCTTGAGATTGGCTCAACGGTCCAAAAATGTCCAAAAGAATCATCCAACCCAAGCCACTTCATTCATGATTCCAATGTTATTCCATTGTTTCAAGTCAATGAAAAAGTCAGACTGACCTTATTTTCAATTCATATTTCACATGAAGATTTTTGAAGTGACAACTTCTGCCCTGGCACAGAAAGGCACAACTTTCACCTGACAGGGCTCCATCGGGACGGAAGTCGCTCCGACCTGAATCCAATGGAGGGTAAAAAAACGTAGCCACCTAATGGCTACGTGTGGCCGTGGTGCAAAGTTGCAGGCACAACGGCACAATTGCCAACACAAAAAATAGTGCAAATTTGACTCTGGTCAAAAAAGGTCAAAACTTTCAGAAGACCTTGATGATGAGAACATTAGTTGGGACATCCCAACATCAATTCTTGCGGCCCCATGGCAAAATGTTGTCTTATCAGAATTCATATGGTTTTCCTCTTGAAATTACCATAATATTCCCATATAGAAATGTCCCCAAAAATCCAACACACCCATATCCCCAGCCACTAAAAATACCTCGTCTTTTGGTGGTCCCTCACCTTGGCACACAGTTCTGAGCATAAGACCTGCGGTATGACCGTGACCGCGAGCGATCACGATAGTCATAGCGGTCGCGAGCGCGCAGCACGACGTAACTGGGACCTGGAATCAAACATATCTGTTAATCATATAGCCAATGATGTTTGATACTGGGTGGGATGGGTTTGTTATGTTTCTCATGTTTTTCACACAAAATGGTGAGGCCCCAAATCATCCCAGTTTTTTCAGCTGCCAGGTGAAGGACCCGAACCCGGCCAGCCGGCTCTGCTGGCCATGCTGGCCAGCTCTCTAGGGCACCGGAACCCCATGCCAGATAGCCAAATAAAATGTCAGGGATGCAGGTGAAATCAGAAATAGAATGCCAAATATATAGAATTTCAAAATATATGTCTGATAGGAATGTCAAATGTAGTATATAGTTCGAAAAAATGTCAGATCAAATGTCAGAATGATAGAATGTATGTCAAATAGAAAGAAATTCCGAATCCCACACAAAGTGTCAGATAAGACGCCAGATAGTATGTCAGTTCTTTTTTTGGGGGTCAAGGTCGGCAATCGGTACCATCCATGTGGATTCCAAAGTGCTCTGGGACCACTTGCAGATAGGTGGATAGATGGATAGGTCAGTTACAGTGTCAGATAGAATTCTAGACCTATCTGCAGAAATTATGTCGAATAGAATGCCAAACAGAATGGCATAATTCCAGAATAATGTTAAGTCGAAGGTCAGAAATTATGTCAAACAGAATGTCAAATAGAATGCCAGAATATATGCCAGATAAGCACATGTGCTGAAAAAAAATATGGCATCCTCAGCTGGTGACTCAGGGGGTTGGGGATCCTCAGCTTTCTGTGTTCCACTCCGGCCCCTGGGCCCCGACTCCTGTCTCGCCTGAAGCTGGGCCTGGCCAAGGCTGAGGCCCGGAATGGCGTTTTGGCAAAATCTGAAGGCAAAAAAATGTGGAAAAATAGATGGGCTGCGTTGTGTTTCCTCTGAATTTCTTGTTTCCTTTTTTCTTGTTTCCTATGTCTTTTGCTGGAAACAATGTTTCAGCTGGGAGTTTATAGCTGCAAAAATAGCTAGTTCCATTGGAACATACTGGAACTGTATTTTTGGTTGTTGAACCAGAATTTTTGGCTGGAAAATGTGAGTTGATCTGAGTTCTGCTTCATCTTTGAAGATTCTACCCAGCAATCTGAAAATCAGCACACTTACGCTTTTGCGCGTCCCAAGCATCAAAACCTTTCATCTTAACATTAAGTCTTAAAAAATAATAGCCATATATCTGTATATATAATAACAATAATCGTGATAATAAAAATAATAAATAATAATAACAATAAAAACAATAATAGTAATAACAATAATAATAATAATAATGAAACAATAAATCAAAATTTTAGTAATAATAGTGGCAATAGTAATAATAAAAAAAATACATAGTAATATATATATATACACACACGTTTGTCCTCATATATGTATGTGAAGTGTGTGTATATAGACATATGTATATCAAAACAATTTTCTGTATATGGGTGTGTCTGAAAATAGTGTACCCCGAAACCCAATGGTTTTGCTGATCATTATCCCATGATAAAATGGCTATAATTGGGGGTATACCCCATTTTCAGACATACCCATATAATTGCACAACCCGGGGAGTATCCCCCTGATCCCTGGCTCAGAATCCACCACGGCAGCGCGCCTCTCACCGCTCCGATCACGGTCGCGGCTATCGAAGGCGCGACGCCGCCAGGGTCCTGAAACCTGCGATGATCGATACAAATCACGTCACGTACAGCGTTTGAAATCAGATCAACTAACGACAAATACACACAGATACATATATATTATATATAACATATGTATATATATACATTACCTTTTAAAAACTATAAATATTGTATGTCCGCCACATTGTATGCGTTTGATATCTGTGGCTCTGAAATGCTGCAGATATAACATGGATTTTTTTGGCAGCCAAGGGGGGGTACCATACCATTGACGGGAGGGGGCCAGGGGACCCGGAACCGGGAACATAGATATAAGATGATATAAGTTACATTATATGTCTGACATACATCTATGTACACAATTTTCCTATAGACATGCATATCAACTGGTAGATATGGTGGTGCAGTATTCCCTGTAGATGCCTTGGACCCAATACGCCTGGCCTCGCGTGATGCTGCTCTCGAGGATCTACGATACCTGCTGCAGCCCGAAAAAAAATTGAATGAAGTAAACCAAATTCAAATTTTGGAACAATCCACCCCACTAATCATCATTTATGGCGACCTGTCCCTCGTGGTGAGATCGCTGCAATTTAAACAGAATGTTTTCCGATGATGGTTGCTGTAAGAAACAGGTTCTAATCAAAGTTGGTCTCAAAAATTGCCTGAATGGAAACTGGAAAAGGTATGAAAGAATACCAGTAGTAGCACAAGGCGGTGGCGGAAGTTTCAGGGATAGGACACTATAGGAGAGGTGAGTTGCAGCGATGCATGGATGGCAGAGCGAATCCCCTGATGGACCGAAAGGTGGTTGGAGTTGTGCTTTTTGGACTGGCTGCAATGGTTGCAGTGGTCACCTCACCCACAACTGCTGCATGTAGTGTGGTGTAGTGCAGTTGTAGCTGTAGTTGTAGAGTAGCGTAGTGGAGTTGTAGTTGTAGTGTAGTGTAATTAGTGTAGTGCAGTTGCGGCTGCAGTTGTAGTTGTGGGGTGTTGTAACTAGTGTAGTGTAATGTAGTGTAGTGAAGTGCAGTGTATTGTAGTGTAGTGTACTGTAATGTAGTATAGTGTAGTGTAGTGTCGTCTAGTGTAGTGTGAAGTAGTGTAGTTGCAGTTGTAGCGGTAGTTGTAGTTGTAGTGTGGTGTAATTAGAGCAGTGTAGTGTGATGTAGTGTAGTTGCAGTGTGGTTGTAGTGTAGTTGTCGTGTAGTTGTAATGTAGTTGTAGTATAGTTGTAGTGTAGCTGTAGCGTAGCTGTAGTGTAGTTGTAGTGTAGTTGCAGTGTGGTTGTAGTGTAGTTGTCGTGTAGTTGTAATGTAGTTGTAGTATAGTTGTAGTGTAGCTGTAGCGTAGCTGTAGTGTAGTTGTAGTGTAGTGTAGTGTAGCGCAGTGCAGTGTAGCGCAGTGTAGTGTAGTCTAATTAGTGTAGCGTAGTCTTGTGGAATGCAGTGTAGTTGTAGTTGCAGTTGTGGTTGTAGCTGTCCTTGTAGAGTAGCGTAACTAGTGCAGTGTCGTGGAGTGTAGTGGAGTGGATTGTTCGTAATTATTTGTATTTGTTTTGTAGTTGTAGTAGTGTAGCGTAGTGTAGCCTAGTGTAGCCTAGTGTAGCGTAGTGTAGCGTAGTGTAGCTAGCGTAGCATAGGGTAGCATAGGGTAGCGTGTAGCGTAGTAGTGTTATCTGCAAGCTTGAAAACGAAACTATTCTGCGAGACTTCCTCAATTTTCGAAGTTGACAGCGTCAAAAACGAAGCAATTCTGCGAGACGTCCTCAATGTTTGAAGTTGACAACGTCAATCCACGAAACTTCCATCAAAAACGAAGCAATTCTGCGAGACTTCCTTCAATGCTGGAAAGTTGGGTGCAGAGCCTGCGGCCTCGTACCAATGCAATTTGCGATTGTTCCACTCCATCTGTCTAAAGTACTGCGCGTGCCACGAAAAAGTGATGCCAGGTCATACGAAGTGCTGCACCTGTCACGCAAAATCATGTTAGCAAATCTGAAGATCTGATGCTCCAAAGTGCAAACTCTCTCGGGAAATCAATGCCCTGACCTCCTAACATCTCTGATGAACACGTCTCTTGTACTGCGCCTGCCACGCGAAATGCATCTTTGCAGATCCTCTTCAAATGTCCGATGCCTGCCATCATTTTTGGAATGCCACAAAACATCACAAAACTCTCACGTTTTGCTCACTTTTGACAAGGCGCACAATCCCTCGCGCCTGCCACGCGAAACGACATCTGAACGTCCAAAAGTCATGTGGTCTCTTTCAGCTTTTGACTTGGAAATGTGCTTCGCGCCACAACGTCGTGCACTTTTCAACATCTCATCTTCCAAAAGTGCTCCGGCACTGGTGTGCTTTGTACATTTTGACTTCGAAATGTGCTTCGCACCACAACGGCGTGCAATGGCGTGCACTTTTTCGACATCTCAACTTCCAAAAGTGCTCCGAGAATGGTGTGTTTTGTACATTTTGACTGCGAAAATTGCTTCGCGCCACAACAGCCTGCAATTTGTCATCTCTCATCTGGCCAGATGGCTCCGCACCCGCCGCTTTACCGAGCCTACTTTTCGACCCTCCGGAGCCCCAAAGCATTGGAAAAACAGTGTTTCGCGACTTTTCTACCTTTTCGCGCGCCCGCATCTTCTTTCTTCTGACTCTTTCTCTTCTCTGATCTTCTTCCTTCTTCTCTTCTCTTCTCTGACTCTTCCCACCTCTGCTTTTTCATCTGTCCATATTGTCAGAAGCTTGACTTCTCAACTTCCTTCGATCAGGTATCTTTCACTGATGTTTTAATAAACAAAACGATGCCATCAAGGAAGGATACGGAGTTGAGATTGTCTTCCAGCTCAACTGAGTTACTGACGCCATTTCCGTCGGGAATTTCGCCGTGATTTTTTCTCGGCATGGAGCTATGGACTTTGTGAACCACACTTGACTGTGTTGTCTGTCTCAAAGTTGTTTCAAATATGAACATATTGAATAATATGATTGACACATGATTGACATTGTTGGATTATGTTGGATTCATGGATCGGACTTGCTTGACATGAAAGGATATAAATCCACACGCCACAATGGCTGAATGGACTTTCATGAAATGGGCTGACATTGAGATTGATAATAAATGATATTCAAATTTTACCATGGTGAAATGCCTGTTTCCTGTGCACCGAAGTCTGCCGAAAACCAGTTCCTGCAGCAACTGCGACAGAAAAATCTGCTGTTTCTCCGGTGCCAAAACGCGCCCATATGTTTTGGTTCTTCCGTGCAACATGTGGTTAAAGCAAGAATACACCACTTGGGCGTCATTTTACATCCCAAATAGGGGTATGAAGCTTGGTACCAGAGAAAAAAACTCATTGCATCTTTCTGGCCGCAAACTTCCAAGTTGTAGTGGATATATTTCAACAACCTGACTCAAAATCTCACGACTGATGACCCAGGGAAAGTCTTGGGCGCAGCATTTTAAATTGCCAAAGAATCATAAGGAAACACGTTTGTTTCAAAAAACAGTTGGTCATAGTTGGTCATAGTTGGCATAGTTGGTCATAGTTGGTCACTTGCCTAAACAAATGATCCAAATTCTGGCGCGTTTGAAATTTGACGTGGATCCTCTACGAATCAATTCTTCTGACCTTGATTAATGAGGAATAATCAATTGAATCAATGCCTAACCAAATGCTGTGGTCAGAGCTTTCCAAACAGATCCAAACAGTCTGGCAGAGAGTGACAAATTCTTGCAATCTTTCTGAAAAAGCTTATAGTTTGGCTAGAAAACGGAGGAAAAGCCTCGAAAAGTCTTGCGTTGGGCATGGTTCCAAGGATGCATCTTGTGAATCTTGGCACCCTACATCTTGCACAAACCTGCCATGGAAAAGTTGCCATTTCGTGCATCTTTTTCGGCATTGCTGCAGACGTCCAAGTTGTACTGGATGTGATTGGGGATTTCTCCACGGTTGTCCAGATTTGGAGGCCTGGAGATGCCTTGATTTTTTGCAGCGGTTAGGGTGAGAATCACCTGCAAATGGTCAGTGCAAATAGTAACCTCTCAGCCCAAGTTAGCTCTGGCAGACCTTGGATAGACATAGCTCAGGGCTCGTCAAGGTGAAACTATGAGTAGGGATGTGGTCATGATGTGCCCATAGATCGTGTCATGTCGATGTGCATCTCAGAGACTCGTCGCTGGGTTTCAGCGCCTTCTGGAGGATTCTGGAAGCTGACATCAGCTGACCTGAAATCAAAGGAATGGCCTTCCCCCTGGGTCCGGGACATATTGGGACCGTGACCTTTCAGCGCTGGTTTTTGTTGAGATGGGACTGGGACTGCTGGATTGTTTCCCAGTGACCATCGATGCCATCCTGGTTCAAGTTCTCTGAAGTGAAGGGGTCCAGCTCCGAGGGATTTGGCCACGATACAACTCCACAATCATGAAAGCTTAAGAACATGTCACAAGTCTCCTTAGACCTCCTTAGCGTTTCTTTGGAATATACATGAATATACAAGTGCCTTTTCACTGAAATTGAATCATGGATATTCATGGATGGCAAATGGGGCAAGTTGGGTTTTCCCCAACTTAATAATCCATGTGGTAATACGAAACACCCAGCCTTCTTCCAGCCGATGGGGCCAAGAATGGCCAAGAGTATCACCCGGCTCCTCCTCCTGTCGATCTTGAAGCTCCCAATCCAGTTGATCGACAGCCCGGAACGTTTACAGCTCGGAACGCTGCAATGGTTCAATGCTCCGCAGCAGGTCTTGCCTCAGTCACTATGGTTGAACCGACCTTGGCGATGAGGATCTACCGCTCTCAGGTGACGTAGAGTCATTTTTGTCACAAATTTGTGTGTTCAAGATTTTGCAGCTGGGCACGGACATTTCTGGGATTGCATTCTAACAAAATGGATCAGATTGATGGCTGCTTGGGCTCTTATGTATTCAGCAATGTGAAACTGAATGAGATGGATGAAATTGACAAAAATGATACTGTCATGCGATACTGATGTGACTGATGTGATTTATGATGAGTTCATGTGTTCATGCTGATGTGATGATATCAATGGGCTCACTCAATGGATTGATTTAAGAGGAAAATTAGAGGAAAACGTGAGTTTTGACCTAAAATGATAGGGGTTTCCCGCATATCTTCACAGATTTTCCTATGGTCCAATTCGGGGGCACATGTTGTGCCTACACTTATTGATTTAGTATTTTTGTCAGCTACCACCTATTGTTGGATTCCAAACCATCCATCTAAAACTGTTTGCAGGAAAAAACACAACTATTTGGATGGCAACGTCCCCCAGTTTTTTCCTGTGTCCTTGAAACAATGTCGTCTTTTTTTTCTTGCAACAATCAAGTGCCTATTTCTTAACATGGTGGTGTCCAAAAATCTTCCCCGAACGGTGATTTGAATGATTTAGCATATTGTATAGATTATCCTCACACATATTGTATTGATTTAGCATGATTATCCAATTTTGAGGTAACTACCCCCAATTCTAAGAAACCTACATGTGTGCAGCCCGTCAAAACTTGGATTACATACACATACTGGTGGATGGTTGTCATTCCATGCATATCCATGGGAATTATCATGGCTAATAGAAGGATTCCGATTGTGGGATGGATGGCCACAACATGCCATAACCCATTCATTCCATGTAACTTGACCATGGCCCAAGTGTCCCAAATGATCCATGAAAAATACCTCTGTATATTCTCATACAAAACACTGAGTGGTTGATAGGTTTCGAGGTCCATATGGGTTGGTTCATAATCCCCACCAGCGAGTTTTTGACGCCTTACTAGAACCAATCAACAAAGGTATCCTCTGGTAATGACTAACATATAGCTATTGAAAATGGCAATGTTTAATGGGAAAATCAACTATTTCTATGGCCATTTTCAATAGCTATATGTACTATAAATGGCCAGTTTCATCCATTTTCAATAGCCATAATATGTTAAATATGTTAGTCATTACCAGAGGGCACCTTTGTTGATTGGCTAAGATCCCCCATGGAATGGCTTTGGCTTCGTCACGCCATCTCCTCCAATGCTGCGGCATCAGACGTTTCAGCAGCCGCCTTCAAGAGATTTTGCAGCTGCGGAAGAAGCTGCACACCGTTCACCCACAGCGCCTGAAAGGAGCGGGAAGCAAAAGAATAGCCGAATGAGAATCATCCGAATTGATATCATAATCATCAGAGAGTACTGCTATGTCACAACATATATGAACTATTGTGCATGGCATTTGTATGATGTGTATTCATTTGGCATTGAAACATCATATATCCTGTCAAGCTCGGATCAACTCTCATCCAAACGCTCATCAATGAGGGGGTCGCGCAACTAGGATCAATTCTGGCCATTTGTTCCATCCACTAGGGATGATGCTCTTCATAGTTTTCCATCTTAAGCTTATATTAAACCATCTTCACCATGTGGATTTCCCATCAAATTGGCCAAGAAAACCAGACTACCAGACATTACCAGACTACCAGAGTGCTACTCGACCCATCCGGAGCCAAGGTGCTTTGCCAGGTTGGTAACTCACCTTCCGCGTCACTCCCAACAAAACGAGACCCACTTGGACGGACGTCTCGCTGTCGCCACTCAGCATTGCCTGGGAACTGGAAGGATTTGCCCCTTGGGGACTTGATCATCCCATAGGTGATTCATAGGCCTTAATCACTGGTGCTGATTTATAGCCTAGATCTTCTATGACTGGATCTCCTGGTGATAAAGTTGATGATCAATATGATCTATGGTGATCTCCCTGGGGCCCTGGGGCTTCAAAAAACTGCTTAACAGTTGGCCTACCACTGGGGTCACCACTGACAGTCGGATCTTTGACCCCTGGGATCCCAGCGGAAGATTCAACAGTCATTGACAGCCAGCAGAAATTGACACCTCAATGAATCAAGACCTATGACCCATGACGGATCCGGCTGGTGCTGCTATATATGGTAACATTTAGCACCAATATACCCCCAAATAATGTTAGCATATATCAGCACCAGCCGGATCCGTCATGGGTATTATAAATTGAATGATGGCGGACCAACGTCAGGAGATTTCCCGTTTCGATTTCGCAGCGTCCGACCTCGATGGCCGTAGGTAAATCACTGGCACCCGCCAGCAGATATCGAGCCACAGAGAACTGAAACATTGCCATCTCTCCGACGTCCTGGCGGCCATGGGAGTCGAGGCCGGCGGCGGCTGGCAGAAAGACGACAGATCCGGTGGGAAAAACCAACATGAAAAAAGGTGGTATGTTAGGTATTATCTACCCTTGGTTTGCATCATTTGTTGTTCCTGGATAGTCTCATTCCAGGTTAATATTTATGGTATTTATGGGTAGTTAAACATGTTAAAACCCATCCCAATATCCTTCTTTATGATATGTCATCATGTGGCTTTTGGGACAAAAAAACACAAAAACGGTTGAAGGTCAAACATCTGGTTGGAACCAGCCCTGGGTCCTCTTTGATGAGCCTAGCCAGCCGGGAGACCTCTTCTGGCAGCGTGCCATCGTGATGCGCAGCCAAATATTTCCTGACAACGCTGGAATTCACATCAGAAATTCTGAACGCCTATAACACCTCTTTGCACGCCGGCATTTTCAGAAGTAATACAGACTATTAACAGAACATCTATGAACTATATCAACCAAAACAAATGACGTAATCAATTGGTTTGCCAACACAGCAAGGCTGGCCGCATTGCGAGTGTGTTGTTTGGCCTCCTTTTAGGAGTATCCAGTAATTATATGTATAATTATCACTATGTATTACTCGGATATTCCAAGGGAATCTTTAAGGGAACACCCACACATCCACCAGCCACACCTGTAGGTTTCCTTCTTCACAGCACTTACATCAGCTCCATCGATCTGCCCTAGGGCTTCTTCCAACCCACTGCTGAGGTAGGAGCGCGCAATGGAATCCTTGGATTTTCAAAGCCACAAAAAGAGGCCGCAGAAAATGCACCAAAGTCAAATACCCTCTGGTTATGACTAACAGTTTGCCATGGTATAGATGGCCCATAGAAATAGATGATTTTCCCAGCTAGAAACCTCCATTTAGAAGGGATTTTCCATGGCTATGTTAGTCACAACCAGAGGGTATATTCAAATACTTCTTCCCTGCAGACCTGTTCGTTGCAAACATCTGCAGAAACTTTGGAATCTCAATCATCTTTTCGGGAAATTCATCGCCAAATATGCAGCTTTAAACAGAAGTCCGTTCCTCGTCCTGAAACTTAAGGTCCCCAAACATCCCCAAACTGTAATTCCCCGCATCGATTCCCGAAGAGGTTTCGGAAAAATCACCAATTTCATTGAAACCCACCATTTATGAAGCATGTCCCATAGGATCCATGTATGATATATATATATATATACTAACATTGGGGGTATATTGATGGGATCCATGTTACCATATATAGCAGCACCATGGATCCGTCATGGGTTTATGAAGGATGTTAGACTAATATCTAGTTTTAATCACAATATCTCTAGACTTCCCCTTGAATTTTCTGTTGGACTCGCCGTTCCGAGGTTCTAGGCGGCGATCCCTGCCGTGAAAACGCTGCAGCAACCAACGCACAGGGCCACTTGCAGCGTAGTCAAGCGGTAGGTGGCCTGGTTTGGCATCAAGTAATCATTCATTGGATTGGTTTAAGGGAAAATATGGGAAAATCTACAGGAAACTAAGGAAACCATGATATTCTTGCATTAAAATATGAGGGTTTCCTGAAAATTGTCTCGTAAACCAATCCAATGAATCATGCCAGGAAAAATAAGAGAAAACTTAGAAAAAGTATGGACACTGTCCGATTCTCGGCATCATCCATGTGAAACATATGGAAGATAAGATATTTTTTTCAACCATATGGTTAACTCCCGAGACCATCAGTTGATGTCTTGCCCTTGAAACGACCATGGCAATGGAAACCTATATGCGCCTAGCAGTCTTCTCAACTCCATGTGTCCTGCGAGAAGAAACAACTTGGTATGTCCCTGTGTTGCCAAACATGCAATGATTCCTCAGCATTTTTTCCCGTTATTTTTTTTGGTGTATAATCTGAGGTTTGTATTGGTCATTTTTGGACAAACCAAAAAAAAACACACACACCTCCTATTACCCTCTGGTAATTTAACATAACTATGGAAAATCACCATTTATAGTGGATTTGCCCATGAAAAATGGTGATTTTCCATAGTTATGTTAGTTTACCAGAGGGTACTGGCTATCTCCCTATTGTTTCTCATTGCATACCCATGATTCATGGTCGATATGATCTCGATGAAAATGAATGTCACAAAGCCTGACATGATGATGGTTTTCACTGATCCGGAAGCTCCAAAAAGATGGAAAAGCATGGAAAAGTCATCTATCACTATTTGAGTAGGATTGGGTTTTACATTTTGGGGGGGGCTGCTATACTGTTACCAGATCCACTATGGCTGGCCCCATTGACCCCATGGCCAACCTGCACGGTCTGGGACGTCGCTTCGGCCGCCCAAGTGGAGAATCCGGGCCACGACCGTCGCGAAGCCCAGGCCGCTGGCGATGTGCAGGGCGGACTGCCTCGAGTCCGGGAACATCTGAACCGGAAACCCATGACTCATTTGACTCATTGACCATCCAAATTGAATGGGTTATAATGGCTTCTCCTCAGACTTTCCCTAACCAAATCCAATGAAACTCCACTTGAGGGCCGTTTCGATGGATGGGTTTTCTCGGGAAATCATGGGTCTGTACCTGTAGGTTTTCCCCCACCCAATCCTGCGACTGTTGTTTGCTCTGGAGGATCAAAGTCATTCAAATTGAATACCGAGGCACATGATGCCACCAACCACACTTCCAAAAATAGAAAGGCATCAAGCCAGTACAAAAGCCATTAAAAGCCAATCAAAAAAAAACAGAAAACATGAAAATGATACCCTCTGGTAAACTAACATAACTATGGGAAATCACAATTTTCAATGGGAAAATCCACTATAAATGGTCATTTTCAATAGCTATGTTAAATTACCAGAGGGTACTCTTCAAAGCACCGGAAATCATCAAAAAACAAGTTGAACAATGTTTTTTGATGTCAACCCAGTGACCCGTCTCTAGGAGATGTCACATCCAGCTGTGCTGGTGTCCGTCCATCTAGCAATGCCATGGCGATCTCCGGGTGAGAGTACTGCAGGGCGGTGATCAGAGGTGTTACACCTGGAAGGACCGGAAAAGTGGGACAAAACCCTGGGAAAAATGGGGAAGTCATGAGTGAAAGAAACATGGTCCTGGATGTTCATCAACAAAAATCGGAAAAACACAGGGAATGGCTGTGACATCAAAAAGAGGGGTTTCCCAACACCAACTGAACCTCAAAAGAGACTCAGATTTTTAGGGTTCATCCCAAAAAAATTGGGCGTGGATGCCGCCTTCCATGGTGTTCAGTTGTCGAGCTCCAGCATCCAGCAAGGCTCTTACAGCCTGAGTTGGGCCGAGAATCGGTTGGAACACATCCCGCAGGATCCGATGGAGAAAAAATCCAAGGTGGATCCATATGTGGATCCAATTCACTTCAATGACTTAAATCACCCAAAAATCTGGAATTTTTGGGGGATCAGATAACATTGATCATGGTTATCCCAGTGGTTATCCCATGGTTATCTCCCAGTTCCTTCAACGAGTTGGCATCCGAGTCTCTGAGAGGTGGCCGTTCTCGCAGGCATTGTGCCTGGATCGTTGCTGTCATTGCTTGAGGTTTATCCTTAAACATAGGCCCAAGAAAGGCCCAAGAAATTCCCATGGAATTCTGTGTGAATGCCTCATGAATGGCAAATCTATGCATCCTCAGATTGTTGCTTCTATCACCTTTGCATCTTGTTCTAGACCCATGTTTTTTGTTTGATTTCATATGATTCAATGCCCCATGGAAAACTGCAATTTCCAAACAAACCCCATATCTTCGATGCGCAAACCTGGAAAACTTCGACAAGTCACAAGGGCGTCGCACCATTTCCCTCTTCCCAGCCCGGTGCATCCGGGCTGCTGCCGGGCAGAGAAGCTGAGGTGACCTAGTCCAGAATGGTCCAGAATGGTCCAGAATCCCTGATTTTCCCCCAGGCAGATGGACCCCTTTTTCGTTTTTCCGATTTTTTGGCAATTCTGATGGCGACCTACATTTCTATCTTTGAGACATCTTGGGGAGCCATTCTGAACATGTGGGCGCTTGGGAAACCAAATTAATTAGATGGTTCCTTCCATTTTCCACGCAAAGTCAGGATTCGCGGCCTTCCCTTTGCTGCGCACTCGTCTGGAACGAAGAGTCCTCGGCTTCAAACTCGGAGTCACCGGCAACCGAATCCATGTGGATACAGCCATGGCTGAAAAAGCTCACCATCAACTATAAATAAATATTATAAATGGGTGATTTTCCAGCAAACCATGTTTGATTACAGGAGGCTATCTTAATATATGTTGCATATACCCTCTGGTGACATAAATAAAGTGCTGGAAAATTCCCAGTTCGTAACCGATGATTTTCCAGCTACCAGCCTCGGCGAGTTGGGGGATTCTCCATCCACCTTTGACTACTGGAGGGTAATCATATTCTGGTTGGTGGTTTGAACCCCTCTGAAAAATATGAGTGAAAGTCAGTTGGGATGATGACATTCCAAAAAAATGATGGGAAAGTCATAAAAATCATATAAAAATCCATGGTTCCAAAGCACCAGCCAGATATTAACCATCACTTACATGACCTACATCGGCATTTTCTCCCAGCCAGGTTACTGGTAAAGTTCATGCCAATGTGCGAACATGAGTCTTTTTTAAATTTCGTAAAGTCACCAGTGACTCTAAGATCCATCAATCCATCGTCCCAGATTTTCCGACATATCCAATTCCACGGCACCTATCAGGGTTGGCCCCTCCAGCTATCAGCACATCGATGACTTTCGGAAATCCACGACCAGCCTGGCGATGGGTCGAATCCTTAAAAAAACCTACAGAAATACTGCAGTGGTAAGGGGAATGAACATCTACCCTCTAGTCATTTCACATAGCTATGGTATAGACAGCCCATTGACTTTGATGATTCAGCTCTTTGACCTATTCAAAACGCTGCTTTTCGCTAGATGACCGGAGGATATAAACCATGAGTACGACGCGGTACCAGGTTTAGATCTGTCACAAGCAAGTTGACATTCCACCTGTTGCCATGCAAATTGATGGGACACATTCCTGGGCCCATTGTCTCGCTAAGGTCTCTCTACTCATTCAAGCTTTGAGACACAGAAACCAACTCAGGGATATAGTTTTTATTGAAGGGCCACTACAGGTCAAAACTAATGCCACTCAGTTGTAGATATTTAATGTCATTTCCGGATATTTCCGGATTAGACCCGCACCTTCATTTTAATAAACTGGGACTTGAGCAAAACCATAATAAACCATAGTTAAATATAGTTAATGCACAATATAAATGCTATTTATAAACCAAGTTCGTCAGCAAAGGGGCTGCCAGATACAGTGGAACAGTATCTCCCAACAGTAGAGCTTCAGGGTCCGCAGCGCAAGCTTCCTTGGACCAAAAAAAGGCGGCAGGGGCAGGGCAGGAGGCTATGAACTCAATGAAGAGATTATCCAGATTGACATGTTCAAACGGCAAAATCACATGAAATCAGTAAATATCAACAAATCATAGGTGTTTCTTGTGAATTTTCGACCTAATCCATCAAAAAATCTGAGGTATCGATATTTGATGATGTTTTCTTCGACCCCCTGCAGGTTCTGGCCAACTCATCCTCGAATGGTAAACATCCAGTGATATGCAGTGCGCAGAGGGACACCTGAAGAATTGGCCACGTTGGTTGCTGGACAGGGCCTCCGTAGGATGTTTTGTCTAATTATTACGGATCATGGGGGTTGTTAATTCACGATAAAGCAACCAATATAGTAGAGGTTATACGATAATAGAAGGATAAAAATCAGGTTTATCATCGGGTAGTAATATGAAATATTATATGAACTATTATGAAATATTATGAAATATTATGGAATATTATGGAATATTATGAACTATTATGAAATATTATGAAATACTATGAACTATTATGAAATACTATAATGTTATCATGTAAGGCTATCCTATATCCCAACTGTTTGAGGATTTATGGTCCCAGCGTCCAATAGGACCTGAGCTACAGCGGCATTGTTGGTGTCTGCAGCTGTATGCAGGGCAGTACCTACAGACGTGGAGTAAGTGGAAATCATGGTAAAAATGTCGAAAAAACATGCGAAACCTTGGGAAACTATGGGAAAAATCGGAAAATCAATGAACATCATATAGTCGAGCCTTTTAGCTGAAATGTTGGACTACCAAAGGCTATGGCAAATATGGTCAACAAATTGGGGCCCGGCGAATCAACTCCTGTTCCAAAAAAAAACATGTGTCGATTGCAGGCCTTGAAATTTCAATCGTTTTGTGTGCCAAAAAATCATACGGGATGGGCCAAAACATTAGGCCAAACCACAGATTCGAGCCCTTCCAGGACTTCCAGTATCCAATCATATCAAGCCTCAAGGTGGGTGAACAAACACTGTTCCAACCCACCTTGATAAATGTCGGACAAACGGTTGGTCACCTTTCAATGTTGTTTGGCAAACTCCCCCTGTGTTTGCAGGCAAAATGTTGTAAATGGTTTGTATAGATCCTAAAGTAAAATAAAACCTACTGATTTCAAGGCAAGTAAACATGCCAATGATGAGGGGTTGTGCATCCTAGTGGTGAGAAGTGAGGATGGTTCCAATCCAACAACTCCGTTGTTTCACCTTGATACGCGTGAATGGTTGGAAAAAACCCAAGGTTGCATCAGCCAGTTTTTGATGTTTAGCTCCCAATGATTTACATTATTAGCTATGTCAGTTCATATATTGAGAAGAATCAAACATGGTATGCTTATATATCACAGGTCATGACCCACCCGAAATACCATTGGGATATAAAGCATGCCATGATACACGTGAGTGATATACAATGACATATCCACCAAAGTTGCTTCTACATACCAATGTCCCCATGGAACCCCAATTTTCGGATCTATCGTGATATCATTGATATCCAAATATCTCAGATTGAAAATCCTTGAGTTGATCCAACCCGGGACCCTTGGTGGTTATACTCCCATCACTTCCCCTTATAACCTATATTATGGTGCCCACGATCTAGATAAATATCCGCATGTGTAATATCCCTATTCCCACAAATAACCTTATTAAATTATGATAACATGTTTAGGAACATAGTGGGGATGTGAAATCATATATGTTTCATTTGTGTGCTGATGTCATTGATATTATCTCTATATCACGGTCAAAAATCCATGAGGTGATCGAAAGTATTGCTGGGCGATTTTCCAACAAGCCATGTTTGATTACCAGAGGGTAATGGGGATATATCACAATCTAACTAATCAACAATCTGATATGGATTGTGTGTCTAAAAACCCATTCCATCCACGAGTGAATCATCATGATAACATGGGGGGGTTCTTAAAATGCTGGATCCAAAAAAAAGTCACCACCGTGGCTTTCAATACTAAGCTATATGGAGGTTTCCATCAATGGGGGTACCCGTTAGTAGTCATCATCCAGCTATTAGAGAACGGGATTTTCCATGAAATAAACCATCCATTTCTATCAATCAAGGGGTACCCCATGACCATGGAACCCCCCAGTCATCATGTTTCCATTTTAATGGTCATCCATGACCTCGATGACCTGGGGCAGCCCCGGTGACCCCCCATGCTCCACCTCCCTGCATCTTCTCTGCTTCCACGTCAGCCTTCAAGTCGCAGAGGCGACGCACCACGGACAGATGGCCCATCTCGGCAGCAAAGTGCCTGGCTTTCGCCATGGGGATGCCAGACCTTTCCGGGAAAACTGGGGAAAACATGAGAAACCTGGAAAAAGATTGAAAAAAGTGGCTTTATCCACAATAAATTAGGAAATACGATAATTTAGAGAACCCGGAAGAATATCAAATACTATAATATATAATATATAATTATATTATAAAAGATAATATAAGATATCGATGATATAATATAATATTATATATCATATCATATCATATAACATTATACAATATTAATCAAAATCATCCAACTCCAATCCATTCCCCTTTGAAGCCAATGAGCAATGGCGAATTTCCGGCAAATCCATGGCGCGAGTTGGGATCTGCTCCATGTTCCACCAGGATCTCCACAACATCTGCATGGCCCGCAATGGCTGCTGCGTGAATGGCTTGAAGTCCTGACAACTGAGGTGACTGAGGTGAAACAGTTTCAACATGTTTCAACATTTAAGGAAATATCCCCACAAAATATGGCCAACCATGTGGTACTAACGTACCTCCATTTTAGGATCCTGGAATTCCCATTGATTAATTGATTCTAATTGGATCCAATTGGTCTGCTTGGGGAACGTTGGGGAACACGGTCTAAGACTTGAGAATTCGAAGTGCTGAACATCGAAGATCCAGAAAATCTCCGAAAAAACCAGACGCTTTTCCCTGTTCCAAGCATCCTGACTGGCTGGTGACATTCAGATCAGCACCAGACTGCAACAAAGATCTCAAGGCTTCAGGAAAGCCAAACCTTGGATAACTTGGATGGTATGGGAATCAGGTGTACTACTCCGATACCTCAGGTGTACTTCCAAGTCTTCTTCAGGAGCTACGGAGTATTACACCATCAGTTTTTGTATCGACACAATGATTTGTCGCACCACCAAACAGTTTGGGCTGAACCCGACTCCCCCAATTCATGATGGCTGTTTTGCTTTACAATGTGTTTTTCAATGGATTAAGGGAAAAAATTACAGGAAAGCCCCTTTCTTTTAATGGGAAAATCTATGGTTTCCGGTTACGATTTTCCCTTACACCAATCCATTGTGTTTTAAGTCATCCCCATTGAAAGTCCAGATGAAAACATCCGGAAAGTCCCAGTCCCCGTCGACTCGACGCCCAAAAACATAGCTGCCATGTGAAGCGGTGAGGCACCATCCGCATAGCGATGCGATGCCAGGTGAACTTCCAATTCACCCCTGCAATCGGTAGATATAGCTGAAGAATAGCTGGGCCAACATATCAAAACATCCCGAACTCACAACTGGGGTGGTCAACAAATGAAGTCAAGTGAGAATTGGATGCTTGTTGTATTCAAATTGGTGGATAATAGATTCATAATAGCATTAGCGACAATTCACAATACATGTTTGTTCATTCGTTCGGTTCTGGTTAACTATAAAAATATTGTGTGTCAAGTTGCAGAGATCTGCGGGTCACCCGGGTCACTGTCCTGGCAACGGCGCCTGCTTTCATTGCGACCTTCGTCATGCTCCGTCAAGAAACGGCTCGTGCTGTCATCCAAGTACCTTTACATGCCAAAGGCAAAGCATAGCAAAGCCGTGGAAATGTCGCCTGACCCAATCCACATGTCTAGAACATGGAGAACATTTGGATAACATTTGTGATGGACAACCTGACTAGCCCACTACTGTAGTCGCCTTGCTGATGGTACCATGCCAAAGACCAGGAGTAGCCGAGCTGAGTCCACCTGGCAGATCGGTAGAAATCTGAGGTGAAGAGCTCCAGTTGATCCAAAGTTTACAGGCCTCTCCTCTCTGAACTCGATCATATTGAAATGCGGCTTCCTCCGGACCTGCCACATGCTGCCACCATCAATGACCATCTGTGGCTCGCGTTGGCGCCTAGCGGAGCTTGGGCTTGCCCCTCCTCCTGAGCAAGTGGCGGTGAAGATGACCATTTCAACCATTATCACATTATCATTGTTGAAGATGTGGAAGTAGATGGAAGATGATGGAAGTAGTGAATCTGTGGGATACATCATGATACATCTACATCTGCAGATCCATCCAAAAAGTGCGAGAAAAAAAAATGCGCTGTCATGATTTTCAACGACAATTTGCTGTGGCCAACCCCAGTCCGCTGTCCTTGGGAGCGACGAGTCCTGTCAGCCACAATCGAAGACGACGAATCTGAATTGGAGAGCTCAGCAGGTCAACATCGTCAACGTCAGAGTGCGTCTCAACGAAAGAATAGCTGACTTTTCAGGAAGCCCAAATGTAAGCATCAGATCCTTATCATCATTTATCATCTTTACAAAAAAAAAAAAAACTTTACTTCGTGTGATCCCCACCATGACATTTATACATTTTGTTACTGGCAAATCTTCTGGCATTCTATTTGACATATTTTCTGGCATTCGATCTGGCATTCTATCTGGCATATCTTCTGGCATTCTACCTGGCATATCTTCTGGCAGATGTTCTGGCATATCTTCTGGCAGATGTTCTGGCATATCTTCTGGCATATCTTCTGGCATTTGTTCTGGCATATCTTCTGGCATTCCATCTGGCATTCTATCTGGCATATCTTCTGGCATATTATCTGGCAAATCTTCTGGCATTCCATCTGGCATTCTATCTAGCATATCTTCTGGCATATTATCTGGCAAATCTGCTGGCAGTCTATCTGGCAAACATTCTGGCACTTTATCTGGCATATCTTCTGGCATTCTATCTGGCATATCTTCTAACATTCTATCTGGCATATCTTCTGGCACTCTATGTGGCATATCTTTTGGCGTGGATACTCGCGGTTGAGGTCCGGCAGGGAACACTGGGCGTGGATGGTCGTGGTTGAGGTCCGGCAGGGAACACTGGGCGGGGATACTCGCGGTTGAGGTCCGGCAGGGAACACTGGGCGTAGATGGTCGTGGTTGAGGTCCGGCAGGGAACACTGGGCGGGGATGGTCGTGGTTGAGGTCCGGCAGGGAACACTGGGCGTGCATGGTCGTGGTTGAGGTCCGACAGAGAACACTGTGGATCGCGAGTCGCAGGTGAGCAGGAGGACGAGGAGGACAACGAGAGGAGGAGAGGAGAGGAGAGGAGAGGAGGAGGAGGAGGACCAGGCAACTGACATAAAATCTAACAACCCTCACCTGGCAGGTGGGGAACAAAGAAATCACAGCATTTTGGATGGTGGGATCTGGTGAGTCTCAGCGAATTCTCCATCCCCACATCCTGCAGCATTGCGCTCTTCCACCAAACTCTTCCAGGCAGGAGCCAAAGCCCTGTGAATTTGGGCCTGGGCGCTGTAGCTTTCATCATCTTTCATCCATGTTCAAAGAGATGATATCACCTTCCATACTTTTCCAAAAAGATGATATCAACTCCACATCACTGATCCCTGGCCACTTGAGGTATATAAATTTATGTATATGCTATGAAAACAGCATGCTGTCACTTGGGGGGGGTACCACCTAGTTTTGCAGCAAGGTTTATACAATGAGCCCAGGGTTGACATTGCACATGGTTCAACAATCCAGGAAACATGAGCAAGACTTGTCTCCCACTGATTTGAATGAATCGTTGCCACGAGTTGTTGCTCATCGGAAACCCACGGATGAACAGCTCCTGAGAAAAACACCCCGACATCGAAGTTGTTTGCAAATATTCACTGCTGGAAGGTTGGAAGGTCCATGTCACCATATGTCACCAGGTCAGCTGAAATCACCTGCGCAATCCTCAGGTCCCTACGGGCGTTGTCAGCCCCTGTGCCTTCATCCTGGGAATCACCATGTCGGACTCCGACCCGGCCTGAACAACACGGCAATTCAT